TCATGGTGTTTCCTCCTAGGAGAGACACTGCTGCTGATGCCTCCTAAGAGCTTTCCACTAAAATCTGCCACCCCAAGCAGCCACACTTTGCTGTGATGGGATGATGCCCACAAAGCACAGCCTGAAGATGCCCCTGTCCAGGGAGCAGAGGGATGGAGCAATCAGCAGTTTCTGGGAAGTGTCCCAGAAGTGGGGTACCCATGTGCAGTCTGGGGAGGGGAGCCAGGGCCATGCCCCCCAGCTCACAGGCAGCCAGGAGCAGCTCTGCATGCACACAGCCCTGCACTGCAGTCTGAGCCCTGCATGCACACAGCCCTGCACTGCAGCCTGAGCCCTGCACTGCAGCCTGGAGCAGCCCTGCACTGCAGCCAGGAGCAGCCCTGCATGCACACAGCCCTGCACTGCAGCCTCAGCCCTGCATGCACACAGCCCTGCACTGCAGCCAGGAGCAGCCCTGCATGCACACAGCCCTGCACTGCAGCCAGGAGCAGCCCTGCATGCACACGAGCAGCCCTGCAGGCACACACACTGCACTGCAGCCTGGAGCAGCCCTGCACTGCAGCCCGAGCCCTGCATGCACACACACTGCACTGTGCAGCCAGCCCAGAGCAGCTCGCCCTGTTTGACAGGGGGTGCCTGTGACACCCCTGACCACTGCTGTGTACACTCTGACATGCATGACAGCTCTTTGAAGATGCTCTTTGTGAAGCACTTTCCCAGGGCTAAGAACGAATTACACAACAATATCCAAATCCCCAAATACCAGATAACTATATTTAATTTATCCAGATTTGACATGGAATTTTGGTCTCTAAGAGCTCATCTTGAAAGAAAAAGCTACAAGGAAGTTGTACAGAAAGTCTCAGGCCCTGACCTGTCACTGCCCTTTCAGAGAGCCACATCAGGGCAGACGTGAATATAAACTGTGGCTGTGCAGTCCCGGAATCCCACTTTTAAGAGGAAACACAGTTTTCTGGTGGAAGTACAGCAGCAGATCTGACCCAAGAATGCAAGGAGCAATTCCTGAACAATTCATTAACATTCGGGATTTTTTACCTTCAGGAAGATTTGCATTACAGTGTTTGTAACTCAAATGTAATTATATCTTACATATTCTGATTTTCTAGCCAAGGCAGAGCTCTCCATGCCAGGGCATTATTGTGGCAGAAATGTGATTTGAACCTGTACTCAGAGCCAGCTTCAGATCACTACTGCTGCAGGACTTTCGTCACCACATTTATTTTGCACTCTGCCTCTGTTTTTTCTACTAATGACCTTTCCTGTGACTTTATAGCAATGCAGCTTCACAGAAATCCTAAAAAAGGAAACTAAACCCACCCACATTTCTAAAAATCTGTCTTTTCATTGTCACCCACCATATGGTGGTGAGATGGATTGAGCAGTGGGCAAGCATAAATGAGCAGAGTGGCCGTGGCAGGTTCACCCAGCCTGGTCAGGGCTGGAAGCACAAAATAGTGAAGAAAAAACCAAACCCACCCCTACCTGTACAGGTGTTCTGTCAGTGAAGAAAATGCAAAACTCAACATGCCATGGAGCCCACGGTGCAGGCCCCAAACGGATGGGGGTCTTGTGGTCTGTGCTAACCAGAAATGCTCTGTAAAGCAAACCCACCCCTACCTGTACAGGTGTTCTGTAAAACACACCCACAAACAGAGGAAGGTTTGACTCCAGTCCCACCCACAGAACCTCACACATCAGTGGTCACCAAGGTACAAAAGGTACCCCAACTGTGCATCTAGCTGGGGGATGAGAATTCAGGGACAGATGGATGGGTTTGTCCTCCTCACCCTCCCCAGAAGAGACACAATTTGATAAGTTTTTTGTCCTCATCTATGCCCAGTGCTGACCCAGATATTAGGCTTGTGATCAGGACACTTGTGACCAGATATTAACCTTGTGACCAGAAATGGTGGAAGGATGAGAAAAAGGCAGTACAGAAAAAGGTAAAAGAAATAGTGGAAAAGATAAAGGAGTTATTTGTGCAGTTTTTGAGGAGAGTTTATCTTGCACACAAAAGGAAATCAAAAGATCCTCATTTCCTGAAAAGGCTACAGATGTAGAATGTGTGATTCTGAAGTCAGAAAATGAGGTGCTTTAAACACAATTGTCTTTTGAGAAAGAGACACAGGAGAAATTGCAAAAATTATGTCAATGGTCTTTGAAGTACAAATGTGCAACTAGAAAAACCGCTGTCTGTGGCTGAAAGACAAGAGAACCATCTGCAGGAAAGCCTACTTTGACTGAGTAAGGAAAATTACTTGATCAAATCCCACATGAAGCATTTTCTAGTTCAGTCCAGCACAGTCCCCTCCCTCAGCACCCCTCTCCTGCCACCTCTAAGGCCAAGCATCAGCGTGGGAGCAGCAGTGGTGCCACCTGAACCTGCGCACGGGCTTGATGGGGAGCTGCAGACAAATCCTTGTAAGGGCTCAGAAGGCTGTTCCACGAGGATGCACAGACACCCACCCATCACCCAAACAAAACTGAGCAGAAGACATTTGCTGGCAGATTTGACAGGGCAAAAGCACAACTAGAAGTCCTGCAATACTTCTGTAATTAGCTGGCCTTCTAGGGGGATTATCCTAGGCAAATATCTGTTTTGTTCATCCTGCTTTTAGCAATTCCCAGAGCTGGCCCCTGATGCCCCACGATCTGCATGATTTTGTGTTCAGTGGGGCTGGGGCACGGGCAGCCCTGTCAGCAGGGCTGGAAAGGGCCCAGGTAAGATCTCTGGTCACAGATCCCCCCTCCACATGGCCATGGCCTGGTGCTGCAAGATCCTGCCCTCAGAACTCGAGCCAGGACCCGTCAGCCCCACCTCTGCCAGCAAAGACTGCAGAGCTGCCACCCCACCCTGCACTGCTGCCACCAGCCAGGAGAAGAACCAAATCACCCCCGTTTTGTCACCAGAGCTGCTGGGACACGCCAGCAGTGCTCTCCCCTCTCTGGCTCTGGGACACAAGTCCCTCAGCAGGGTCATGCAAAAGGATTCCCTTGAGGCCCTCAGCTCAGACCAAGGGTTAACAGCTTCTCCCAATGACACAACCAGCAGCTGGGAATTCTGGATTTTGGGGGCAGAAGCAGACTTGTATGGCTAAGGGCAACATACATTATCAGTTTGTTCTTCAGCCACCTAAGGAGCATGGCAAAGTGCAGGGCCTTCTAGTGACCATGCTCACTGCCTGCTTTCTAACCCCTCAGAAACAGCAGCCATAGCTTGATGTCCTTGAACACTGGGTTTGGCTGGCATGTTGGAAAAATCCCATGTTTGTACAAGAGAGCAGCCCCTCAGTTTGCCCTGCTGGCCAGAGTCATTCCAGCGGGGTGAAGCTGTACACAGAGCTCAGGCACCCCACCCACTCTTTAAGCCCTTAATCCTCTGCCCTGGACAACTGCTTACTTGTCACTGCAAAAAATGGTCTGTGCTGCAACATTTAATCCATCACAGACTGGCATCTTACACTGGAGAACACTGCACTGCCTCTTCTCTGGGGCTTCCCATGCTCCTGTCTACCTTAGAGAGCCCATGCCTTTAAACCAAAGCCTTACCTGATTCACTCCTCCCATCCCTGGCTCAGGAAATGACCATGGGGTGCACAGAAAGAGAGGAGAAGCTCGGCTGACTGGTGTCTTCAGGGAGCACCTGAGAAGCCTCGTGCACCATTTGTTCTGTCTGACCCATGGGGAAAGTACAAAACTGTCAGTGAAGCCAGCACCCAAACCCATCACCCCAAAGCCATGGATGGACCACTGCAGCTGTGGGCTGTGAGTCTCAGGATCGAGAGAGGGGCAAGAACACTGGCAAGAATGTGCAGACAATTCTGCCTCTCAAGATACCCCTTACTGAGATATGCAATGAAATTTGGGGGAAGGAAGGGACTGGAGGTTCAGGGTAACTCACAGTGGCCCCATGCAAAGGATGTGGCTATGAGAGCAACACCAGGGAGGAGGTGCATGTGTTTCCCCGTGCCTTTGGGCCCTTCTTCTACACAGATAAACCCTCACAGAAGCAAAGCCCATGAGGAATTGTGTATTTTCTGTAAGGTTTAGGTGACACACTGTCAAGCAGAGCTCAAGTCCTGCACTAAATGTTTACTTGTTCTAAGGTAGACAATGTACATATTTCATGGTTTTTAAATAAACATTTAAACCTCGATTTATCTCCCCAAACTCGGCTCTCTCTCAGAATATATTCCTTTCCTACATCCACAGAGAAGATATTAGCTCTTCTATTATCATACATTTCCACTATTCCGTGCTTGATTTCAAAGCCTCCCAGAAAACTTTTGGGAGGAACAGGAAGGAAGCCTAGCAGGTGTTTAAGGTTAAAAGAAAAGAGTAGCACAAAAAAGAAGAGAAAGGAAACAGCGGAACAGCAAAGACCCATCGCGTATGCCCAGAACCCATCTCCAGCACACGCACGCCCATGGCTCCGGCTCAAGCCCTCCCAGGCACAGAGCCGCGGCTCTCGGGGCAGGATGCGTCACGGCAAAGGTCGCGGCCAGCCCTGGGAACAGCTTGGGAAAAGCAAACTCCAGCCCAGCAGCTCAGCCTGTGGCTGCTGTGCCAGCTGCACTTGCGCCTGTCCCAAAGCCGCTCTGCAGCGGGGCCGGCTGCGGGCCGGGAGCCGGCACAGCCGGGCAGGGCAGGGCACGGCCAGCGCTGCCAGCCCTGCCCCTTTCTGCTCCGGAACCCCCGCAGGGCTGCGCTGGGGCAGCGCCGGGGCGCGGGCACCGCGGGCGGACAGCACCGGCACCGGCACCGGCCCCGGCTCCGCACGGGCAGGACCGGCACCGGCATCCCGGGACCGCCAGGACCGGCTCCGGCTCCGCACGGGCAGCATCGGCACCGGCATCCCGGGACCGCCAGGACCGGGAGCGGCTCCCTGAGACCGGCAGGCCCCGCACCGGCTCCCCGCCAATCCATCCCCGTCCCGGAGCCGATCCCGGCCGATCCATCCCCGATCCATCCCGCAGGACCGGGAGCGGCATCCCGGGACCGCCAGCGCCGGGAGCGGCTCCCTGAGACCGGCAGGACCCGCACCGGCTCCCCGCCAATCCATCCCCGTCCCGGAGCCGATCCCGGCCGATCCATCCCCGATCCATCCCCGTCCCCGCCGATCCCCGCGCAGCCGGCAGGCCCGAGCTCTCGGCGCTCCCCGCAGCCGAGGGACCGAGCCCGCCCCGCGGCCGCCGTCCCGCACCGTGCCCGGGGGAGACGCCGCCTCCGGTACCCGCTCCTGTCCCCTGACAACGCCCTCGAACGTCCTCGGGTGTTTTTAAGTAAGTGCCACCGCAATTTTACTTTTCAAATTGGAAAATAAGGAGAGCATCCGCGCGTCCTGCAAACCACTAACAACTAATAACACAAACGAGCAGATTTAACTACCTAACTAACTACAGAAACCGGTACAGAAACTACTGTTTCAGCCATGGAGCAGACTCCAGCTGTGCCAGCAGACAAAGCACCTGCAGGCAAGGATTCCTCCTGTCTGCCTTAAAAAGACATTTTTCTTAAGCAGCTGCTTTTAATTTATGACTGAGAAAATGTAACTATATGAAACTCATAGTTTAAAACATCAGACTTTAAAATAAAATATTTGAATGACAAATACTATGATTACAATATAATATTAAAGGGGAAAACTTTCTTGAGCCACATTTTACTACTTTTAAAAACCCAGTTTTAGGACAATGCAACTAATAATCATTAAAATGTTTCATTGACCCAGGGCTGTGGTTTTAGCTGGTACAGAGTTAATTTTCTCCCAGTAGCTGGTACAGAATTGTGGCTGGTTTGGGATGAGAACGATGGTTCTCTGAAGAACCCTGATGGTTTAGCTGTTGATGAGCAGGGCTTGCACCAAGTCAAGTGCAGCCTCTTATGCCTTGCCAGTGCAGAAGGGCATGCCAGGAAAACTGGCCCACTTATCTCTCTCCTTGTTATTTTCCTTCATTACAATCTATTATTATTATTGTTATTATTATTAACTTCTTAAACTATTCTTACCTGACCTAACATTTCATCTGACATCCACCACTCCCTAATTCCAATATGATAACTGACGTGACATAGGAAATATTTCAGTGGAGGAATTTTGAGACTTTAAAAAAACTGAGTATTTGAATTAGATCTGAAAATTGTGCTGTGTGCGAAGAGCTCAAAGCATTGCCTAAGTTTCCATCTGAGTATCAGGGTTTGCACAGATACCTCAGTCTATGGTCTTTTAAGGTTAAAAGTGTGCTCAGAATAATGCATACTCTTGCCTAAAAATCGGAAATAAAAAGAGAATGAAAAATTTAGCTGATGAGGAAGACAGAGCTGTTAAATTTCAGATACAAAAGAGCGCAGAAGCTGCTGTAGAGGAAGAAGAAATGAAACAGTTACTGGTGGTTTTGCCAGACAGAAATACAATTCTGCCCTTGAGGTGTCCTGACACTGCCCAAAGGAGCCGTGGCTGCAATGGGAAATGCAGAACTTTATCTGCCCTGCTCTGTGCACCTGCTGGCTCTCTCCGTGTCCTTCAGAGCCCAGGAGCTCTGCAGGTGCCAGGAGAACACCACGGGTGATCCCTGGTGCAATACCTGCAATGCCACTGCCGCCTCCCCGCTACAACAGCCCGGATTTGGCCTCTGGGATCACAGGTGGGATGTGCTGTTCACGGGGACAGAGGCAGCCCCCCGTCCCCCCTTTCTGACTGCAGCTGCAGGCAGGGCACAGCCCCAGTGCCGCCAGCTCTGTTCCCAGCCTGTCACAGGCAGCCCGAGGAGAGGCACGGCTTTCTGCCTCCTCTGTCCTTGCTCACCACACCTCAGGGCTCCAGAAAGCAGGATGAGACACACGTGGGTTACTGCTGCACCGGGCACTGCCCTGCTGCCTGGAGCCCTGCCGGGAATGCCACCTGTTCCCTCTGCCACCCCAATTCATCCCATTTCCACCACAGCATGTCCTCCCTCACTGCAACAGGAATGCCACCTGTTCCCTCTGCCACCCCAATTCATCCCATTTCCACCATGACACGTCCTCCCTCACTGCCTCCTGCAACAGGAATGCCACCTATTCCCACTGCCATCCTAATTCCAGCACTCGTCCCGTTTTCCTCCACTACATTCTATACCAAACAAGAGCCACTACCACCCAACATGCCATTTCCAGAGGCTAAAATATCCCATTATTTTGCATACTTTTATTCTCCTAAGTATTACAGCCCAGACATTGCCCTGTGAGAAATGTCATAATAAGAACAGTAAATAACAAAATTTTAGTCTCTTGGCACACTCACAGCAGTGAAATGCAGCAACACATCTCCAGTCACTGCGAGCAGTGCCCTCCAGAGGGGAGCAGCAGCTCCAGCCGGGAGCCCTGCGTGTCTGCACACCCCACAGGCTGCCAGGCTGGGCTCCTCTGGGGACACCGAGCAGGGTCAGAGCAGCCCTGAGCACCCTCAGGCCAAGAAGTGTCCCCCAGGGGTTTGGGGGACGAGGTTTCCCTCAGCCAGCCCCGCCTGGCCCCTGTCAGTGCCCAGCACAGCCCCAGAGCCTCACCCCCTTCTGCCCCTCGGGACACCCACAGCAGCTTTCCCACTGCATTGCTCCAGCATGGACAGCACTGCGAGTTCCACCAGCACCAACATTCCTGCCACATTAGAGAGAAAATCTTAAAATAAGGTTCTTCTTTTAGCACACTCAGCACAACGTGCAGTGGCTGTGGTGTGTGCTGTGCTTCTTCCCTCTCCTGCTTCCTCCTAACATCAGAGGTGCCCTCCAGTGTGATTGCCTCCCCTGATTAACTCCATTTTGCTGTTCAAAAAATACTTCTGGCAATAGTGACCACGGTCACCAGTTCCTGACCCAGTAACTGTATTGCACATTTGTTAAACAGCTGCATTAGTTTCCATAAATAACTAAAGTGTGTACTTGGAACAACACAACCTCTGGTAAATTCAGGGTAAATAAATAAATAAAACAACTTATAAATATTATTCTTATGTTCAGTAAAGCAGGGTGAACTTTGAAACTTGACAGCCATGTCACAGAAGTCAAGAATTGCCTTAATGCTACTGTGCAAGAGTCACAGGGGACAGCACAGGACTGACCTCAGAAGGGACAGAGCATTTCTGATGGTTTGTGCAGCTTCCCTTTTGTGTGTTGTGCCAAGACAACATGATCTGCACACTGAGAAAGTTCAGAACTTTTTTATATATTACCCAATCAATCTTGGTCATCTGATGAATCAAATTTTCAGGTTTTGCACAACTAGGTGACATTATTCACACAGAATCAAGGTACTTTATGCTGGCCCAAGCATTCAAACAAGAAGAGCTGCTCGAGTATGAAAGGCTGCGTGCCACCCTCCCAAATGGCACTAACACACCCCCTGTGTGTGCCACCCTCCCAAATTCTGGCACTAACACACCCCCTGTGTGTGCCACCCTCCCAAATTCTGGCACTAACACAGTCCCTGTGTGTGCCACCCTCCCAAATTCTGGCACTAACACGTTCCCTCTGCCCCCACCAGCAGCCACTGCAGGAGCCACCCTGGGCCCCCAGTGACAGAGGCGACATGTCAGGAAGGTGACAGTGTTTGCTGCCAGTGCTGAACTAATCACAGCCGTAGGACAAGACCCTCCAAAAGGAGCAGAGTGTGACAAGGTGACACAAAGAACAGATAACCCTGGCCATGAGCCCTGAGCTGTGGTGCTCAGCAGGGACACAGGAGCCTGCAGCCCCTCCCGGGCAGTGAGAGGCTTCAGAGTGCTCTGTGTCTGTCCCCAGTCCTCTCTGAAGCTCTCTGGTCAGTGCTGTGCCCCTCAGCAGCACGGGAGTGCACTGCAGGCTGCAGGGCTGTGTCTGTGTCTCCCACAGGTGTCCCAGCAGGAGCAGAGGCCCCGTCCTGGGAATGGACAGCGCTGCAGACCCTCAGCAAAGCCCCCCAGCAGGCACCTGAGGCCAGGTAAGGGCATGCCAATGGCGTGGGAAGATGTACAGGGTCTGGCCTGGCCCCTCTCAATGACAGACAGCTGATCAGTCTGCTGGTATCAAATGTAAAACTGTCTGGGGTGTCCTCTGTGCTGCACACACACAGTGGCCTTCACAAAGGTTTGATATCCACATCTGTAGTTGCACAGTTCTGAAATAATCCTTTGTTGTATGACGCCTCAGCACAAAACACACTTCATGAACTTCTAAACAGTTTCATACCTACCCCCAAGGCCAAGCACAGAAGGACCCACCTGTGGGTTCTTGGCTGTAGAAAGCCCTGCAGAGAAGGAGCAAGTTCTTAACACACCACGTGCAGAGAGAGGGTCCTGCTGGGAGCCTGGAGGGAGAAAGTGAACAGAGACACAGCAAAGAGAACAGTTTTTAAATACAGTGTGTTACTATTTAAATAAAAATGCCATTTGCTATTAGTGCCTTTCCAGAAGATGCTTCTGATTTCATCAGTGTCACCCCAAACTCTGCCCACACAACATCCCAGCTCTAACACACCTGTTCATGTGCTAGTTTAATGCCTACTCTCCAAACCATCTTTTTCTTTTAAAACCACAGCCATCAGAAACAAATGCCTTGGTGGCAAAGACAGGGCAGCTGCTGCTCTGGCAGGATAACGACCAGGACGAGGTTCAGTGCAGGCTTTGGGTGTGCAAGGGTGACACTCCCACCCCAGGCTGCTCTCACCCACACAGGGTCCAGAACACACCTAAGCTGATCAGCCTGCACACCATCTGCAAGAGGTACAGAGAACAGCACACCAAAGAGACCATTTCACCTATTTGAGAAAAAATGCCAATTTCTAGCTATTGCAAGGTTGCATTCAGGCTCCAAACCACCCCACAGAGACATCAGCTCCTGACTCAAAATGGAGATAAAAGGAAAGTCTTTATTTTCCAAAAGACAAGGTGGGGTTTTTTCCCAGCTCCAAGGCACATATTTTCCAGTTGCCCAGGGTTTCACTTGCCAAATACAGCAGCATTATATTTATATCTATATTTGTTCTGCCCTCCCCACAGAGAATAATCCACCCCCACAAACATTCTGGCAAAGAAAAGCAGACAGCAGATGTGATTCCTTCTTGGAGATTCTTTAAAATGTAAATCTGACTGACTTGAGAAGCCAGCTCAAGCTCCCACATTACAAACTAACACAGACACACTTCTGTGTGCTGGGCTGCTGGAAGTTTAAAGCAAGCTCTGCCAGCTGCACATGCGAGTTCCTTGCAGGGGAACACTGGGATATATTGCCATACACTGGGGATCTCCACACTTGACTAACAGGAGTTTTTACAGAACATTTTGACCAGGGATGTTCATATCCCTCATGTTTCAGGGTAAGTCAATGTTAAAAATTCATACTGAATGTTTAAAAAACAGGTCTCATTAACCCTGAGTCACCAGATCTCTGTGGGTCAGTCCCAGCTCATGCCCGCTGCCAAGGGGCAGCCCTGGGCTGGAAGGCAATAGGTTAAACAGAGAAGCAAATGGATCCTCTGCTCAAAGCAACAGCATGCCTTGGAACATCACCAGAAAGCGAGGTGGCACTGCTCAGACAATTCTGCACTCCCTGCTGGGAAGGCTGAGGTGGGAACGTGGCTGTTTCTGAGAGGCACACCGAGCTGGTTTGGAAGTGAGGGCAGAAAACCCAGAGCAATTAGCAGAAAGCCCAGCACCACCCTGTCCTAACTGAGGCACTCTTTTCTCTGCTTCTAGGAATGAAGATACTGCAAGATGCTCAACTCCAGCACCAGCCCCTCAGGCAGCAACTGCAGCCACAGCACGGTGATAACCACGACAGTCATCCCGCTGCTCTACTGCTTCATCTTCCTCGCGGGGCTCTCGCTCAACGCCCTGGCAGCCTGGGTCTTCCTCTACGTTTCCAGCACTAAGAGCTTTATTGTCTATCTCAAGAACATCGCTGTGGCCGATCTCCTCATGAGCCTGACGTTTCCCTTCAAAATCCTGGCTGATTCGGGGCTTGGCCCCGCGGAGCTGAGCCTGTTCGTGTGCAGGTACTCGGCAGTCGTGTTCTACATGAACATGTACATCGGCATCACCTTCTTCGGCCTCATCGGCTTTGACAGGTACTACAAAATCGTAAAGCCTTTGTTCACCTCCTTTGTTCACACAGTCAACTACAGCAAGGTGGTCTCTGTGATCATATGGCTGTTGTTAATGATTATGTCATTTCCAAATATGATTTTAACTAATGAAATCACTAAAGACAATTACTCCAAAAAATGTATAGGTCTTAAAAGCGAGCTCGGCAGACAGTGGCACAAAGCAACAACTTATATTTGCACAGGGATTTTCTGGATTGTTTTTTTTCTGCTGATCGTATTTTACACTTCTATATCCAAAAAAATTTACAGCTCTTACAAAAAATTCCGGAGGAGCTCCGACATGTCCAAGAGAAAAACCAGCCGGAACATATTCACCATCATGTTTGTGTTTGTCATTTGCTTTGTGCCCTACCACCTCTGCAGGACCCCATACACCTTGAGCCAGACCAGCTCCCAGTTCACCTGCCAGTCCCAAAAATCGCTGTACTACGCCAAGGAGTTCTCTCTGGTGCTGTCTGCAGCAAATGTCTGCCTTGATCCCATTATTTATTTTTTCCTCTGCCTCCCCTTTAGAGAAAAGCTGTATCAAAAACTGCACCTCAAGCTGAAAGCTTCAAGTGAGGTTGAAATTTCTAAATCCAGAAGATCAAATACACTTCCGGAAAGTATAAACATAGTGTAGGTTTGTGTCTCCACAATAATGCACATTACAGGAAGTTATTCATGAACACAACTGTCCCAAAGAAACAGAGCACATGACAAGCAGCAACAAGCAGGAGAGGGGCTCAGCACAACACCAGGTGCTGCTTCTCTGCCTAAACCCAGCACTGCATGTGCCAATGTATTCACTACGTGCTGTGCCAGCTGATGCCCCGATTGCCTTAGGGTGTGACACGACCCATCCGGATCCCAAAAACACAGAGGAGGACCTGGAACAGCACAGTCTGGAGCTCCAGGCCGTGGGTCTCTGGCACCACCATCCAACAGACCCAAACCCACACCAGCCTGACTCCCTGGGCTCCCATGGACAGAAACATGTCCACACCAAACCATAGCAACTCCCTCATTGCTGCTGCAGAAAGAGACAAGAGCATCACAGAGCCACCTGGGAACACACAAGTACAGCTGTGCAAGAACTCTGGTACATTTAAATCCAAAAAGATTGGCTGGTTTTCCTATGATTTTTACACAGCAGTAAAGCATTTCTGTCTCTACCAAGATAACAGCTGAAAGCCACTCACCTGCTCTATACAATTATAATCTCTTTTATAACTTTATTTTTTAGATCAGCTTTTTCTTCTAATTGATTTCGTTATTATACAGGAAAAACATACCAGGGCCTAAAGCATCCATTAAAGCTTTCAGAGAGTGCTCTGGATCTGAATATCTTCATTTTACTTAACAAAGAAGCTATAGAAACAGAAATAACAAGTCCTTCACCTTTCTGCCACTGCTTTTTGTTTTAGTCCAAACAGACCTAAGGGTGAAAAATGTTTAAACATTTGGTCCTTGCACCTCCTCTAAGGCTGTGGGTAACTTCTCTTGGTCCGAGACCACTGGTCAGGAGCACCAGGATTCTACCACTCTGCAGGATTGTACTCCAGCTGAAGGTCTGGACACCTCCACTGGGTTCACACACAGCCTTTGGAGCAAATTCAGCTCCATGTGTTTCCCAGCCCGATCCCAGTGAGCACCAGAAGCTGGGGGTCACCACCCTGAACCTGCCCACAGGGACTGCAGCAGAAGGCTGTGTTCTGGTTGTGTTTGTTAAAGAAAATACATAAAAGATATTTATATGGGTTCTTTCAGAGCTCCCTGACTCTGTCACTGAGGCGCTGCAGGCTCTGCCCTCCAAGCAAGGGAAGCAGCCTGCTGGGGAAGGGAATCCAGTGCTTTGTGGGAGATCTTTTGTCATTTATGGCAAAAGCATTCAGATCCCTACCTGGCAGGAATTGGTACTTGCCTACGTAAATGTACACAATTGCAGCTCTGAAAGATCACTGGCACAGACAGATGGAAACACTTCCACAATATACATTTAGAATAACTTTATAATTGCTTTGCAAGCTTTGAAAAAGTTATTTATATTGTGCAACTGTTTCACACCTCCCCAGATTACTGGTGTTAGAACAACAAGGATCCACATGCAGGCACCAGGGGAACGGATGCTGGTCAAAACCTGTGCTCAAAAGAGATGCCACATTTCCAGCTTTTCATCCATGTTGAAAAAATCCTCCCCCAGGAGCTTCCCTAGTCAGGAAATGGTTCCATGCCCCGACGCTGCTGCAGTCCCACCCTGTGGGTGACAAGTCCCAGGGAACACCAGTGTCAAACCACCCCTCTGCTCCAGCTCCTCAGCCTTCCTCCTTACTTTGCTGGGTGAACTGAGGCCAATTTTTTTTCAGTACCGGGTAAAGAATCCTTTCCCATCTTTCCCAGCACATCAGGCTGGGCTCACATAGCCCAGGCCAGCTCCTCACACACTCAGGGAAATACTCATGTTCAAGATCTGCTCTCTTCCCACAACACTTCTGCAGGAAGGACAGACCATTACTCAGTAAAGGTTTACCAAAACACCACTTTGTATTTTTAGACCTGGAAAAGTTCCCTGATCTGTAAACTGACAAAAAGGGGGAGAGTGACTGACAGAGACACACAGCAACACACAGACAGAAACAACTGCTGCAGTTTGGGCTTAAAAAAAAAAAAACCCTACAAGAACAGGAAAATGAAACAACTGCCAGTGCTGCAGTTTGGGCTTGAAAAAAAAGCCCTACAAGAATAGGAAAATCAGCTTTGCATGGGCAGAACTCTACAAAATTAGTCGATGTTTGCTCACAACTGGACATAGGATCATTCCAGATTATTAAACTTTGCAAACATTTTGACAAATATGGTCTGAACTTTCAGCTCATGACTAAACCTAGAACCAGACATGCTTCATCTGTTCCTCCACAAAGCTCTGGTGCAGGGTTTGTAAATGCCTGTGGATTCTCAATTACAACCCAGGGCCACCAGTTGGAGTTTCAGTATTGCTGTCAGTACCTCACCCCAGCACGGTGTCAGATCTTCTCTCATGTTTTTCCAAACCAGCCAAACAAAAAATAAAATATTTCCCTGACTTCTTTAATGTGTCATGTTTATTTTTAATAGTCCTTGGAAAATATCCAAAGATTTAGAATGTTCATTGCAATCAGCAGAACCCCTAGGTGTCTTCAGATCTGCCAGCTAAGGTGTAACCCTAAAACAAACACCATGAGATTCCCAGAACCTAGAATTTCATGCAGGAGTATTAATACAAATGAGGAACAGTTACATTGCAAAGTCCTGGTTTCAGATGGATTTTAAATGTGAGATACATGTGGGGAAGGGGGGAAGCAGAGTTCCAGACTTACAAAAGCAAAGGAACTGATGCCATTCCAGACTTACAAAAGCAAAAGCAAAGGAACTGATACCCCACAGTTACAGCCCCCCTCACACCTCTCCCCAGAACAGGAAAGAGAGGGCTCTGGGCTGCTCCGTGAGCACTTATTTCTCTCTGTCCCTGCTCTTCTGGGTAATTTCCACGTGATTCAGCTGTTTGAACGCCGGGGTTAACTGCGTCAGTCAGCCCCTCTGGAAACCACAGCCGCCTCTGGGGCCGGCAGAGGCAGCCTGGGCAGAAGGGCACGCAGAGGCACTCGGGGACACCAGACCTCTGCAGAATGCTCAGCACACCCCGGGCCCCCAGGACAGGTGAGTGCCTTCAGTCTGTCTGTTACAGCCATTTAGTCCTGCATGAATGGACACCCAAAATCCAGCTGCCAGACGCTCCAGAGGTCAGGCTCAGCTTTTGGCCAAGCCCTGGCCCTGGCAGTGGCCAGTGTCTGGGGCACAGCCCGGGGCTGGCTGTGCTGGGTACCCACGAGGGAGGGACGGGGCCAAGCTGGGCTGCCCCGTGCCAGGAGCCCCTGCCCAGGGAGCCCAGCACCAGCAGCACTGCCTGCCCTCACCCAGACCACTGAGCCCTTCCCAGGACAAGAGACCCCTGCACACAGCCAGCTGCCAGGCTGCTTTCTCCAGCATACTGGAGTATCTGCAATCATTTTGCCTCACAAACTATGCAAATCTGGATACAATTTAACAGATTAAATTACATGTGCAGTAGTTCTCTTGTATTGTATAAAATATTCCGTACAGTATATAGAAATAGGAGTGTTGCAGTCTGATGCTACTCAAGACATAAATGTGTTGGTTCCAAGAAATTCAAAGGAAAGCCTTTCCCACAGCTGTTCTCTGTAGCAGACTGACACAGTGCAGCAAACAAACAAAAGCACCTCAGACTTCGAGGGGTATTTAGTTAAATCAGGGCCAAAACTTTCTACGTTCCTTTTCTACTGTAGCCTACAAAAAAATGTATTATCTGCTTCTTTCAAAATGTGCTTTTCCTAAAGGCTTCATAAAAACACAAGTTGTCTGTTCAAGCAGGAATGGAGAGCAGTGCACAAACCTAAGGGCTGGGGAGGACCCTTTCCTCACCCATCTGACATATCTGTATATTGGTTGGGCAGTGCATTCCCTCAGAACTCCCAACACATTTTTACAGGATGGGGATACTACAAATACTACTTTTTTCAGACATAGCTTTAATCCTTCAAAGGTTGTGATGTTTTAGTATGATCGTTATTAACCAGATGCTTAAATAGATTCAAGTCTTTCTCTAGCATTTTTGCTGGAGGACGGTGTTGAACCAAACACTGTCAGAAAAGCTGCTGCTGTGTAAATGCTCCTCAGAAGGCTCTATGCTTTCAGAAACAAATCCCAATATATTCCTAATTCTTCCAGCATGAAAACAAAATTCTCCTGAATATTTGGGAAGCAGCATGAAGAGAGAAAAATATTTCTTCCTCGCTATATATATATATTTTTTAGAATTAATCAAAATTCTAAGAGAATAGCTACTGTTGCTGAGGAAAGGCTGAAGTCATTGATGTCCTCTTGGTTCTTTTGTAGGTCTGTGATACCTCCTGTCAGCAAAGCCAATTCACACAAGGAGTTTACAATGTCAAGCAACTTTTCTGAATGTCATCTCCATGAAGAAATGGAGCCTTTTACCTATTTTTACTACTTGATTTTTCTTATGGGAATTATTGGAAGCTGTTTTGCACTGTGGGCATTCACACAGAAGGACCAGAAACAGAAATGCATGAGCATCTACTTAATCAACCTCCTCACTGCAGATTTCTTGCTGACTTTGACACTGCCAGTGAAGATTATTGTTGACCTAGGAATTGCATCCTGGAATGTGAGAATATTCCACTGCCAAGTCACGGCCTGCTTCATCTACCTGAACATGTATTTATCCATCATATTTTTGGGATTCGTGAGCATGGATCGCTGCCTCCAGCTGATGCACAGCTCTAAGGTCTACCGCATCCAGGAGCCTGGCTTTGCCAAGACCCTGTCAGCAGTGGTGTGGGTCATGCTTCTCCTGATAACGGTGCCCAACATGGCCATTCCCACGAAACACATCGAGGAACGGCCTGGCGTCAGCTGCATTGACTTCAAAACGAAGTTCGGGAGGGACTGGCACGTGTTCACCAATTTCGTCTGCACGGCGATATTCCTGAACTCCTCGGCGGCGATCCTGGTGTCCAACTGCCTGCTGGTGAGGCAGCTGCGCCGGCACGGGCGCGGCGAGCGCGGCGGGCGCGTGCGGGCGGCGCTGGCGCACGTGCTGCTGGTGACGGCCGCCTACCTGCTGTGCTTCGTGCCCTACCACGCCGTGCGCATCCCCTACACGCTGAGCCAGGGCAGCGCCAGCGCCAGCTGCCCGCTCCGCCGCGCCCTCTTCAAAGCCAAGGAGTCCACCCTGCTCTTCGCCATCGCAAACCTCTGCTTGGACCCCGTCCTCTACTACCACCTTTCCAAATCCTTCAGGCTGAAATTCACGGAGGCCTTTGCAGCCCCCAAGGAGGCCACGGCGCTCAGGGCCGCCGAGGAGGCGCAGCAGCAGAGCTGCAGCCTGCCTGGGGACACGAGCAGAGCCTGCCCGCCCGCAGCACCTGCAGCTCTGCGTGACTGCAGCACTGCCGACAGCGCTCCTGCTGAGCCCTGAGCCCAGGCGTGAGGAAAACACCGCCAGGGCACAAGGAAAACACCACCGAGGCACGAGGAAAACACCGCCGGGACACACCTACGGCTCTGTGACCCCCTCACACAGCGCCCTGGGCACACAGCCTCCAGGGATGCCCTCACCAGCAGCTCAAAGCACAGTGCTGACCCACCAGGTGTGAGAATCCGTGTTCAGACTCAAACATGCCTTGGAATTATTTATGGCAGACACCTGGACCCGCCTTTACTAAGTTAAATGTTGTGCATTTACTGTATTAAAGGACTTGGTGCTATCAAGTGAAGAAATTAGTAAACCGCAGTTCTTCAGCTGCAAAGCTGATTTGACAAGATTAACCAAAAAAGCATTTTAGAGGGCATCGTTTACTCCAAAAAGGGATTTTAAAATGCACTGATTAAAAATTATTGTATCTGCTTACACCACACCTGCAGGCTTCATAAATAAATTATTTCTTTTTGCCAAGTTCCACTGTCTCTCCCTGCTGCTGCCTCAATGAATACAAGAAAAGCTAACAACATGTTATTGCAGAAAATTCAAGTGAATTGTAAAAGGAAGATAAAAAGTGTAAGTATCCATCATATCTTTTCATCTAGGACTTCAGATTCACCACATTTCTGCACAGTTAAATAAACAAAAAAGCATGTCTCTATACACAAATGCACACAAGATCCCCAGCATTTGCATCTGAGGCCACTACACATGTGACTCTCTTACCTCTGCATAAAGTCCAGACTCACTCTAGAATGACAGGCTTTTCCTATTAACTAGTTTGCTTAGTTCTAAGGCATTTTATTTAATCATTTTGGCTTACTGATGGGAAAGCAACTTCCAGGAGCACCGTGAATACAAAAGGAGAGTTCTTTTGTCTGTCTAAATTACAAATTGAACACTGACCAGGGCAAAGCCCCCTGCTTTGGGTGGAGATTTGGGTGCAGCGAGGCAGGAACAGCGCAGTGACTCCCTTCCCCTGAGCTGGTTTGTGGTGAGAGCAGACAAGGCAGAGGAGCTTCTGAAAGCAAAAGCCTTTCTGCACGTCTGGGAGTGCTCTCACCTCTCTGTGAGACCTGTCAGCCCACAGCCGGGCTGAACACACAGCACACGTTCCTCTGTGGGCACCTTCGTGAACACACAGCACACCTTCCTCTGTGGGCACACACAGCACACCTTCCTCTGTGGGCACCTTTCCTAGGAAGACAATGCCCAGCAGAGCCCCCGTGAGCTGAGGCACAGCCCGAGGCAGCAGCTCGGGCAGTGCCAGGGCCACAGGGACACACTGCCCTGCCCCAGCCCCGCTGCAGGGCAGAGCTGCTGCAGATGTGCTGGTGCTTCCAGATGTGCAGCTCAGGCAAGCTGGAGTGGGACCTTCTGCCACCACAGACAACAGTTCACATCAGAGGTGGCACTACAGCATCCTGCTCCTGCAGGATCCCATTTCCCAGGGAAACAAAGGTATCCTACAGAATGCAAGACAAACTCACACTCTCCTTTTGCCTCAGGTTGGATCTTGGCTTTGGAGCCCTGCTGGAGTCCCCAGCCAGCTGACAGCCTGCTCCACACCCCTCTGTGAGGGACTCCAGCTCCTCCGGCATTCCTTTTGATGGACAAGCAGCTCACAAACGTGAAACTCTTCCAACAGACACAAGTCAGCTAACACACACCTTCCTGACTCAGGCTGCAAGTTCTTGCTTTAAATACAAGGCTTTTTCATGCTAAACTTTTCTAGAATTTTTAAGCTGTAAATTGACGACAAAGATCACCAGTTCTCCACATGTCAAACTCACTCCTTTTGTAATGAGATGAAATTGAGGCTTCCTTAGAAACATCTTACTCTTTAGTAAGTGTACTCTTTACACTGCACTGAAGCAGAAACAGCTTAGTTCTGCCTGAGTTTCCACTTGCCCTTCTCCAGGAGCCTGGCCACAGCCATGGCCCTGTGCTTCCCAGAGCCCCTGCAGCTCACAGCCTGCTCACAGAGCAGCATCAGCACAGCCTCATTGTCTGGGGCTAGCTGTGCAGGCAGAACAGAGAAACCAGCTCACCCACACAGCCCACAGCTGACCTCTTACCCAGCAGCCTGCAGCTCTGCAGGAGGAAAAGCCAAATGAGCTGTGGTTCGGGCTTCTGATGCACTCATTTGCTGTCACTTGCACGCATTTGCTTTCTTTACAGTGTTCTCACATGAAATATAAGCTGGAAGCCAAAGAAAGAAAGTTTCATGTCCCCAGTTTTCATATTGCTGATACTCAAATCAAAATTTTTCCTGGTGATAAAGTTGCTTCACAAAAGCAGGGAAGGATGATGTGCTTTGTGAGCAAGAGGAACAGGGGCAGTGTCCCCACAGAGCCTCCAGCCCACTCACCACACGGGATTTACACTCTCATTCTTCCAGACCTCCTCCCTCTGTTTCCAGACTGCAACTTGCATCACACTGACACATGACAGTAAACAAAACACCCCCGAACCTCTAAAGGTATTATCTGTCAGATAGCCAAGGTTGAAAAACTCCCCAGAAGTTCCATTTTATTTCTGACATTTTAAAGAAATACCATATGCCTTTAGAACCCTGTATTTACAGAGCAGCAATGGGCTGGATATAAGTGTGCTTATATCCAGGACTTGTTCCTTGTGTGCCCTACTGATGTCACTTGTCCCTCCCAAGCCATCTCTGAAGACTTCAAAATACCAACCTGCAAATTAAAGAGACGTGATTTTCCTTCTTCCCCCAAAATCTGTGGTAGCTACACAGAGCAGTGACCACCACAAGGGCTGCAGCCAAGCACAGCACCCTCAGCAAGTGAACACTTCCCTCAGAGGGATTGGGAGCTACAGACCCCAGGGCAGGGAAGCTCCTGCTTCACAGGTGTCCCAGCTTCCCTCAGAAAAACAGAGCACAGGTTTGTGCTGAAAAGGCTGCTGTGCACACACACACAGCCAGGGCAGGGGGTGCAGGGAGGAGGGGAAATGCTTTTCTCTTACCCAGATAAAGCAACATGGTGACATCACCACTGCTGTGGTGAGATGCAGCCGGCTACCAACAGAACCAGGGGTGCTACAGAATTCTACACTGATGTAGACTTTTGTTGGGCAAGCCTGCACTGCCAGAGCCATTCCCACTGGGTTCTTGGAGCACAGGGCCCTGGCAGCAGCTGAGACAGGAGAAGCTGAAGGGTCTGACCATCAATTTGTTATTTCGCTTTTGACTGGAAATAACAAAGGGGAGCCACACGGCTTCCTGTCTCACAAGGGCTGTACCTCAGGGCTTCCTCCCTTCCAGCACCACATTTACTCACACACTCAGAATGCATCAACCTCAGAATAATCAGGCTCTGGGTTTGTCTCCTCTGGGGTCTTGCCCTGCAGCTGGTCCAGCCTGGACAAGCACAGACCCCACCAGAGGGGCTCAAACTGCTGCCCCAGAGAGCAGCAAGGGCACAGGGGAAAGCAGGCTAGAAGCTGTGTGCTCCTCTTAAGGTCACTATCAGTTATTTGAGCCACAGAATAAGTTTTTTCATTCCAGAGAGATTTTGTACTTTAACTCCTTTAGATGAGCAGGAACCTGGTGTTGGATTTGGAACAGTTAAGGATGAAAACACCCAGAAAGGTAAATAAGCAATTTGAGCAACCAAAGCAATGCTAACTGCATTATTAAAATTGTTACAAGACTGCTCAGGACATGCTCTATTTTCTCAGTGCTTGGGGAAACAGACTGATCCTGCAGTTATTATTTTGCTCATCTGGTCTCTGTTTCCTGTCCCAACACAGTCAGATTTGGGTCTCTCACAAATGTAGTTACAAATGTTAAATGGAAGCTCTGTGACTCCAAGACCTGTCAGAGCTCCTTTCCCACAGTGGGGTGGGGAGTTTTGTTTGTCTATTTCCAGAAAAGTGATCTCAGAAAGACAAATATCAACTCTCTGCATTTGTCACAAGCCCCATTCGTGAGAACCACATTCAAAACAGGACTTTTTCACTCTAAAGTGAAAAACATCTCTTGGCATCATAAGAATTCAGATGGACTTCAAAGACAACATCAGAAACACCCTAAGCCTTAAAGGCAGAGACCTAAGTGTACAAATATCCATGGAGTTCCAGGATTCCACATAGTAATTTCAAGAAATTCAACACCAGTCCTTTAAAAAATCAATCACTCCCTTCTGTCACATCACGTTCACTACTGCACACTGGCCAGAAAATCCTGCTGCCAAGCTGCATTACCAGGTTCCCCCACTGCTGAGGGGTATTTTAAGCTATACTTAACCAGGCTGTATTTTGCTACACAGGAGACTGACAAGTTCAAGAGTTTCACCAACCATTCTAAACATCTTAAAATGGATTAAAGAGGTGAAAAAATCATTCATTCTCTGTTCCCTTCCATGGTGGCACCTGTGACAGACTATGACAGACAATAAAATACATGTAGGTCAAATGTTAGGTGAAATTTGAGTGGGCTTAAGCCCTAGAAAAATGATGGGTGAGCTCGCAGAGGAGTTGTTACAGACATGAGAAAGTCACTACTGCATTCTCCAGATCACCCTTCCGAGGGCTCTGTTTCTGCCCAAATCAGCTCCTGCCCTCACAGGGACTCCTTGCCCAACTGGGGCTGCAGATGTGCCACAGGTGTTCCAAGTCTGCACTGGTGTAATAAAATTTATTCCAACTGAAAACTGTACAGTAGCAATACAGACTCTTTACTGGATTTACACCTTGACAATAATCACCACTGTGAAAATCGTTCTGGAGCTGTGCACAAGAGATGATTTGAGTCAAGGAAATATCACATGGAAAATACTTGTGGCCAGAAAGAAGGTTAGTAGTTTTCTCTGCAATCCCATCTAAAATGAAAGTGAATTTGCTGCTTTATGACACAGAATAGATTTCTAGATTTTGAGTCCTCCTACTCAGGCAAATCTCCACACAAGTCAGAGAGAGCCAGAAATGAGAGGTCCTTCCCTTGCTCAGTGCACATGGCCACATCCAGCAGGCAGCAACCTGCCATGTATTCATTGTGATGTTACATCTTTATGGGCCACCAGACCTTCCCCCCAAAACAATTCAACAGCTGCTGGCATTATTTGAAACTTCGTGAGCAAGGAGCTGAGCCTCTGTCAGCTGCACAAAGTGCTGGGCTTGGGCTGCACGCAGCCTGCTGGGGGCCCGGGGAGCCAGCTGGGACACAATCACAGAGCCATTCAGGTTGGAAAGGGTTTCTAAGATCACCACCTCAAAACATTAAGACAGCACTGCCAAGCCCACCACTAAAACACGTGTGATCCCTGATAAAGACTCAAACCAAAATACCAAAACTGGAAAAACAGACAGGAAACAAAAACATGCTTCAGCTGGGCTTACATCAAAACACAGGCAGCGGACAGCTGTCCTTCAAAGAGCATTTTTAACAACAATAATGTCAGCAGGCAGACATCCTATTTACAAAACAAAAATCCTTACAGGCTTCCATGAGCTGCCGGCTGAAAGCAGCGTACACAGCCTCGTGACTTACAGCCTCTTCTGCCAGGGAAAAGCAGAAGTGGTGAAGGGGAAGGAAACAGGAGACAAGAAGAGGACGAACAGCACCGCGCGTGGGGACATCGCTGCAGCGCGGGGAGCGGCCGACATCCAGCGGCGCCGGGCGGAGGGACAGCCTGCCCGGGGATCGGGGCTCGGGACCCTGCCAGGGGCTCCAGGACCCCTGCCCGGGGGGGTCGGGGCTCGGGACAGCCTGCCCGGGGGGCTCGGGACCCTGCCCGGGGCTCGGCAGTGCCCTCCCCTCACCCCCGGGCCAGGGCAGGGCAGCCCGGTGCTCACCCCAGCCTGCCCAGCAGGTGACACCTGAACCTGCACTGCTGAGGTGGATGTGTGCGTTCCCCGTCCATGGCAGGAGGACGGAACTGGACAATATTTAAGGACCCTGCCAACCCAAGCCGTTCCCCGTGGCTTTGGAAGTTCAAATGTCAAAATGCACAGGCACCATCCATCAAGCACTCTGCGCCAGTTTCAAAAGTTGAGCTTGAGTCAAGCAACAATGAGTCTTGAAAATTCCAGAGGTGGTTAAGAAGCTGCACATAATTTGGCAGTTTAATTTCTTCTCAGCTCCATGTCTAGTAAGGTGAAGCTAAAACTTTCAAAGCTCAGTTTTCTTCTCTCAGAAAAAAGCCAGCACCTTTTCTTCTCCTGCTCTCACTCAAGTCTCCTGTGCCTGCTGTGCTAACACAGGCACACTGCTCTCATACCCAACAATTCCCACTCGGCATTCTTCACCTCACAGAACACTGTGGTGCCATTAGATGTCCTGCAGATCAAATGGACACACCTGCATAGGAATGTCTGCTGCCCTGGAGTGGGGAGCGCAGCTCTGAGGGGCCAAAGCAGTGTTCTCAAGGCTAGGTCTAACCTCAGCTCACAAAGCACCACTAGACAAATAATGGCAGACAACCTGCATGAAGAACACAGCAATGACTTTCAGAAGTTTCCCTACCAACACTGCCTTGTGAAACACAAAGAGAACATTACTACAATTGTATCTGGAAGTCACAAGAACTTTGGAACACAGACAGAGAGAAGGAAAAAAGATACAAATACTTGTGCAACAGCACAAAGCCACATAATTTGGCTCCAAAAGCAAATAAAAACAAAAAGCCAGCACCCAAATGATAAAGCATATCACACCCTACCTGCTCAAAACCACAGCACATCCGTGTGCCAAAGTCCTGATGTCACCAGGCACTGGGGTTAAGAACTCTCAGAAATTTGCCCTGCCTGCTGTGACAGCTCTCCTTCCTCAGTTTCTCTCTGGTTACCATAAAAGTGTATTGGAACACAAAGACAACCCTGTCAAGTGTTTCACTCCCCCCAACTGCTCTGAGCCCCACATAATGCCTTGTTGGCACGTCTGTCTGTCTGGAAATGCTCCTGGACGTGCCATCCCCCCAGCACTACCTTCTGCTGGTGTCTGCCAAGCCCCTGAAGCCCTGACTGATGGAGCAGGTCTGTGCAGAGGGTCCTGGACTGCAACCATGGCTGGCTGTGAGCACAGACACTGACAACACACGGGTGGAGTCGCAAAACAGATCCACTTTTATTTTCCACTTTCAAACTTTACTCTAACAGTGTATTTTAAAGTCAGATATTTCTTCTTTTCTCCAAACACATTCTAATGAAATTCAGGAGTTTGATGTTATACATAGACCCAGTGCCATTATCATCTGCACTACACACACACTTTTAAAAAGGACTTAAAAGTGCCAGGGATTTCTGTGAAATTTTTCATTCATCTCTGGAAATAGGTTTATGAGCAGAAGCAAAATACAAAAAAACTCTAAGAGTATGTATTGTTAGAATGTTTTCCTGTACTAAATAGCCTAGTAATTTAAACCCAAAGCTTTTCTATCAAATACACACAGACTATGAATTGAGAGGAGATTGCAGCCATTGCCTCCTGGTTATCCTTACTCTGATTTGCCCAGAAGAACTTATGCTAAAGTATCTCCATGGAGTTGCTGGAATCTGATCTGCCAAAACAATGCAAATCCAACACTTCCAAGGTGTGCAGAACCCAGCTGATGGTCAGCCCTGGAGATGGGAGTGAGAGAGGAGCAGGGGGGAAAAGTAAAGAGGTTTACCCAGGAAAACATTCACATGGCAATCTATTGCTGGGATTAATGGTGGCGCAGCAGAATTATACTCCTTACTCTGCTCAAGGAAACAGATGTAAACCCTAAATCTCCAGTGTTTGTTTGGAGCTCTCTTACCTGCAGCTGACTCTTGGCTCTTGTCAAACAACCACCTCACCTCCAAGCGCTGTCCTCTCCCCAGGTGCTGAAGTGGTGGGCACACTCCTCCACCAGAGTTACAGTAAGAAACTTTTCCCCTTTCTACCCATAATTTATGCCATAACCTCTCCCTGTGCTGCATCTCTGGGACAGTACAAACACGAGGTACTTTGGAAAAATAAGAATAAACACTGGGTTGCAAACAAGTCTAAATAAAATTAACAGCAGCAGTCCACAAATGAGCTTATGTTTAAGTGTGCTATGGATGAGAACATGCAAACCACGTGTCTTTTGTCTCTAAGAAATTCTCAGGTGAAACAATAGATAATTTGAAAGCTGAGGCTGAAACAGACAATAGCAATAAAGTAGTCTAGTACTGACCCACACTGTCTCATATTAATTATTTTCATGCATCCAGCTGTGCTTGCCAAAGGCAAGGACCAACAGGTCTGATAAACAGGCAATAGCTTCAAAAAGAAAAACCCAAACCCAATCAGTAAATCCTTTTTACACAGCCTTGTTCCATTTTAATCCTAGGTTTGCCTTAAAACCTTCTTAGTTAACCAGACCCAGTCTTTAAGCCCAGACGATACAAAACTCTTGACCGGCCCGCAGAGTGTGTGCAGTTAACAAACCAGCGAGCTGATGTGATTCACAGAAAGCCCAAGGCCCGCGTGTGCTGCAGTCCCGCCGGGCGGAGGCAGGCGCTGCCCGGGGCCGCCGTGCCGGCCCGTGCCAGGGCAGGGCAGGGCAGGCAGCAGCAGCACAGGAGACCTGGGAGCGTGAGTTCCTGAGCCTCAGGGCAGGCTGGGGCTTCTGTCCAGTTGTAAGAGAAAACGTATTTGCGTATATTTGAAACCCGGACTGCACAGTTTACCGGAGCATCCTGCAGGCTGCAGTGTACAGACACACTGCCCCTGCCAGAGAGCACCCTGACACGGAGAGCAAGCACAAGCAAGTGCCCAAATGCAACCGGATACTGAAGTGAGGCCTCCTGGTTTGGCAGGGTGCTGTATGGTACCTGGGCACTACCTTAAAAAACAGCAAAAAATAAATACCCGGTTGGAAAAAAAGAAAACCCAAATCCCAAAACCAAGAAAACAACCAAAATATACAAGAGAGCAGCTCAGCATTACTGGCTTTAGAAGAAAACCTGCACAAATAAACCCTCTGGAAGCGTTCTTTATGGAGAGCAGATAATCAGATAGAGCAGCCAAGCTCGTCGTCTGAACCCCCAACTCATCCACTCCCCGGGGGCTGGGACGAGCAGAGCACTCATCAAATTACAGAGATCTGTCATCCTAAACCCTCGCTATCAAGTGACAGGGGATGCACTGGAACATCTGCAAGGCTGTACAGAAGGGCGCAGGGAAGAAGAGCCTTTACAGCATCCTCCAGCCTTCACAGCACCCTCCAGTCCTTACAGCACCCTCCGGCCGGGGCTGGCCGGGCACTGCGGCTCTCGGCCGGGCTGGCAGGGAGCCGGGGCTCGCTGTCCCCGCGGCGCTGGCACGCCCCGCGGCAGCCGCGCTGCCAGCATGCCGGCGCAGCAGAAGAAGCTGCTGTTCTGCACGGCCGGCGTGCTGAGCCTGGCCTGCGCGCTGGGCACGGCCGCGGCCGTGGGCAGCCAGCTCTGGGTCAGGGGCACGACCCTCTGCAGCACCGGAGCGCTGCTCGTCAACGCCAGCGGCCCCGAGCTGCACAAGTTCATCGGCCACATCCAGTACGGGCTCTTCTCCGGGCAGCGAGTGCGGCAGTGCGGGCTGGGGGGCAGACCGCTGCGCTTCTCCTGTGAGTACCCACGGGCTGGGGCAGAGCCCTGCCGTTCTCCTGTGAGTACCCACGGGCTGGGGCAGAGCCCTGCGGTTCTCCTGTGAGTACCCACGGCGTTCGAGCCGTCCTGCCCCCGGTGCCGGCGGGACGGGGCCGCCCCTCGCTCGGACACCGCGCCCCGCAGCGCTGATCTCCAGGGTCCGTTACTGATTTTATATACTGATACAGCCTGGCTAATGTTTCAAGAATCTATTACTGCAGCCACACGGATAGCCACATCTCGACAGATTTATACTATTTCTTTAAGAAGAATATTTGGGGGGTTTCATTAATCTCTGTTGCCTTCCTCTGTGTGCCAGCATTACTTTACCTCTGTGCTGTCAAGAACCTCAGGAAAGAGCTGGGGCACTGGCTGCTATTGAGAAACAAAGCGGCCCAAAAGTTGGCAACCTGTGGCACTAATTGGAAGAAGGGCTGGGGGAGGCTGTCAGGGGGATCCTGGCTGACTTGGTACCTGACACAGAGTGTCAAAGTATTAGTAATGGCTTCACTTTACATTCATAACCTATTAATCTTCAAGGATAAAAAGATCAATAAAAAAATAATGAAGTGAGACACAATTGTATCCAGCAGCAGGCAGAACAGGCAGTAAAAGCCAGTTGCTGTGTGTGCAATACCTCCCCTGAAGTTGCCACAGCACACAGATCACAATCATTCTGCTACAACAGCACATGCAAACTGCTCACACCTGGGATTTCATGCAAGGGAAGGTTGCCAGACTAGGTACCAGAAATTATTTACTATGTAACATTTTCCAAAAATAGTAAACCAAGCTAATTTGATATGGTATCAGTATTTGCTCTCTCTAAATTTCATCACTAGACTGTTTATACCGCTGAAGTTCCCTGTTGGTTGCCTGGTGTGCCATCCCAGTGTGCAGTTATTGCACTGGGGCTGTATCAGAGGGGTCTGGGCAAGCCAAGGATTTGGTTTGTGCTGCAGGTGACACTTATGAGCCAGGGCTGGTCCAGCTGCCAGCAGCTCTGGACTGATGCTCAGGTTCAGTCAGTGGCAGCTGTGAGGGGTCAGGAGCGTTCCCCTCAGAGAGCACTGAGGACAAGGTGCTGATCCTGTTCCCTGGGGCTGCAGCAGCCCCCTCCCATCACCTCGGTACCCTGGAAGCTCACCATGAGCATTCCAGAAAGCAGGACCAACTTATAAAATACACAGCCACAGCTTAATGCACTCACTGCACTGCAGCACGTCTGAGGAGAACAGACACAGAAAATAGGCTAAATGATTTAGTTCTGTGCTTGTTCCCATTAAGTGCTCCCCTCTGACCATTGTATCTCTTTTAATTATAATAGGAATTTGCTCTGCCAGCAAACCCAGTTCAGCTGGGGAAAACTTCTGCTCCATTTGTTCCCACTCATTCCCATCAGTTTCTAGGTCAGTGGTTCATTTTCTAAAGGTCTCTGCCATGCACAGCACACATGGGTTCATTCAGGACCATGAAGGAATGTTTAACTTTCAAGACAACATTGCTTCTGGAATTAATTTTTCCTGATCACATATAAAATGTTAATGCCCAGGGGGGATTCAATACCATGCCATAACTTGTTTTCTTAAAACAAACCATAGAAAATTGTATTATTAAACACACAGTTTTGCATGTTTTCCCAATGCATCAGACAGTGTCACAGGAACTAATGCTATTCCTTGTAGGAATCCTGCAGAGGGAAGCACTGGAAGGGGCTCGAGGTCTCCCTGGAGCCTTCCCTTCCTCAGGCTGTTGTTTTGATGATTTATTGTCCCACTCCCAGAGAGGAGGGGATGGCTAAGCCTTCAGCCAAGGGAGATCAGCCCCATAACACTGGCACTGGAAGAGACCTCGGTGACACCTTGTGCCAGGCCTGCCCCTCAAATACAGCTGCCTGGCTTGCCCCAAAAGATGCTGTTCACAACGAGGAGCAAACAGCACCCTCAGGAAGGGGAGGAGAGGCTTTCCCTGGAGCTAGCCTCTCTCCTGGCCAGCCTATGCTTCTGGGTTTCACAGAATTTTTCTGCCTCCAAACAGCCATGAAAAACCATTTATAGTGAATTATTTCATCTGGTTGCATTTAGAAAAGCAAAGGATCAAAACAATCACTACAAATGAGCAGGAACCCCCAGCCTGACATCAGAGACAACTTTGCCTAATGTGTATAATAATGTTGTGTTTGATTTGTTTTCAGTTTTTCCAGATTTGCTCAGAATCATCCCTGCAAGTATCCACGTTAGTGTCATTGTCTTCTGCACAGTGCTGATTGTCTTTGCCCTGGTGGGAGCAGGGTTCTTCATGTTCAATGCTTTTGGCAGCCCCTACGAGACGCTGCACGGCCCCGTGGGGCTGTACCTGTGGAGCTTCATCTCCTGTGAGTACCCAGGCTGGGCTGGGGCTGGCACTGCTCAGCATCACCGCTCCTCAGCAGGGGACAGCGGCTTAAACTGTGGCTGCTTTGGCTCTAAATCGGCAAAAGCAAGCCAGGCAGGAAGGCAGGTGGCTCTGCCACATGAAAACATGCGTTTTCCAAATTGAAATTGAGAGAGAAAGTGGGGAAATCCCTCAGAGGGGGGTGGCAGGATGGGAATGGGCAAGCAGATGCAGGAAGCCATGGCAGCAGGGCCCCAGAGCTGGGGAGGCATCACTGACACCCCGCACACAGTCAGAACCAGGAGCCACCCCAGAGCAGGAAAAGGGGGGAAAACAACCAAAACATGGCAGTGATGCAGCTGGTTCCACAACAGGAGGGCTCCAGACTAGGTCAGCACACGGAGCAGCACACGGAGCAGCACAGCCTTGCCAAGGACAGGAGAGCTGAGCAGCCAGAGGCTGGCAGCAGCTCGTGGTCTCTAAGGACCACTGCCACGCAGGGATCACAGCCACACACCTGCTCCCTGCTGCTGGCTGGCTGACAGGCAGAGTTACCCTGTCTTCACAAGGTGTTACACATTACAACCAAGATTTAACAAAGGACTTCAGAACATGTTTATGTTCAGGCACACAGAGAGCTCCATTATGCCCAATGGGACAATGACCAACTTGGAGCTGGATGTGAGCACAGATACTTCACTAGCTCAGGGCACTAAAGCAGCCATGCTAAATATTCCTGGTCCTGAGCCAAATCCAATTAGAAAAGGTTACCCATTTCAATAGCCATTGGCTTGGATTCCAAAAATAATCCCTGTTGAAGCTGTGGGGCCATACAAACACTCTCCCTGTGGTATTGCTGCAGTACACATCATGCAGCACTGCTGAGGGATTGCTGAGGTGACGAGCATCTCCCCCTCCCTTTCAGGTTCCTGTGGTTGCCTCATCATGATTCTCTTCTCCTCAGAGGTGAAGATCCACCACCTTTCAGAGAAAATTGCTAATTTCAAAGAGGGAACTTTTACATTCAAGACTCACAGTGAGCAGTTTGCAAATTCCTTCTGGACCATCCTGGTTTGCTCCCTGGTGCACTTCCTCAATGCCCTGCTAATCCGATTTGCTGGATTTGAATTTCCCTTTTCAAAATCAAAAGATTCAGGAGCAACCACAGGAGCAGTTGACTTGATGTATTAAAATGATGGGATTTAAGAACATTTCAAGCAAAGAAATTTGTCACAATTACATCAACAACCACCAGATGTACCAACTTGTGAATGATTGCTCTAGGGAAGGTAAAAAAAGGGAAGTTTCAAATAAGTGTCAATATGGTGTAAGCAATGAACAAAAGAAGATGTGCTGTATGGTAATGTCTGGAAGGGAAAGCCCTCTTTCTTGGAGTAAGGTCTTAAGACATTTTTTTCTGCAAACTGTTTAAAAAGTGGCTGGTATGAAGAAAAATAGGAATCTCAGTAGCATTGCAGTGAATCTGAAAAGTCCCGTCAATGGGTTGCAGTAGAAGCACACAGTCACCAGCAGCAGCTCTGCCCTTCAGCCCTGGTGAAGGCAAGGATGCAGCCGTGAGCACATCAGAGCAGCAGGGCCCAGGGACACCCAGCAAGGGACAGGACAAGGCCCAGCCTCTGCCCCAGCACCCCTCGGACTCCAGCTCAGGGGGCACAGCCCAAACATCTGCACTTTGATCTGGCTTCACATGCATGGCAACAGCACCATTTCTCTCCGTGAAACTCTCTGGGCTTTTTCCTTTTAACAAACCAAACTCTGCTCCAGACTCCAAGTCCTGGGAGCCCGCGTTTCCCCAGCAGCTGCTGCAGCTTGGTACAAAGCTGACACAGCACAGCAGACGCAGGGGAGATGCCACGTGCTCCTGCTTGCCTGAGGGAGGCAGCCAGGCTTGGCAGGCTGAACAAACCCTCTGCAGCTCACCAGGAAAAGGGCATTCCCAGGGCAGAGCCACGGCAGTGAGCCCAGGTACCTCCACCTTCCACTGCCCCTCCAGAGAACAGCCCTGCAAGTTCTCATCAAACAATGCCAACAAACCCCGTGAGAACCCCTGGTGAAGGGCAGCAATAACACAGCAGACAGGCTCCCGTGCAGGCTGCAGCTCAGCAGGGGCTGAGGAATAAACACAGGGAAGCCAGAGCAGATGGACAAACCACCCTCGCGCCTGGACATCCCCAAGCCAGCTAAAGCAAGAGATGCTTCCCCAGGCAGAGCATCACACAGCAAACCCTGCCTCTGTGGGGTTACCTGGGTGCCTCGGAGATGTGCAGCTCCTCACAGGACACAGCAACAGCCCTCAGAACAAACAGAGGCAGAGAGCCCTGCCCCATTTATCTGCAGGGGCTGTGCCCAGCTGTGGGAGAGGAGCAATCCCTGCCAGCTGGAGTGAGAGCAGTCCCAGCCAGCTCCCACCCGGTGCCCAGCTACAGATCAGACCCAGTGCCAGAGCCCTCTGTGCCTCAGGACCTACCAGCCCACAAGGCCTTACTGACTTTGATGTATTTTTTGTATTTTTACTGTGAAAGGCACAACACTGTCAGGTTGTTGCAAAGTTTTGTCAGCTGTATCTTTCCCAAGGTAGCTCTGCCCCCACATCTCCCTGCATTTTATCAATGTGGAAGCGCTCCTACAAGTCAGCACAACTAGTTTTTTTCACCATTTTCTTCATAATCTATATGCATATTCCTCCTAATGTTAATGTATGTTTTTAAAGCGTCATTTGTATTGCATCTCATGGTATTGTTTATTACACAGCAAACCCAAACACATTCTTTACTGTGCAGACAAGAGCAGCCCCAGCCTGGGATCTGTGACTCCTCACAGGGGTCCCTGTGCCCAAAGCCCAGCCTGACCACATCCCACCCTCCACCCCAGCATCAGCCCAGCTATTCCTAAGGGAAACAATAACTTCCTACCAGCAAAATAAAATTAAAACTGTGTTTGTGGGTTTGACGGGCTGGAAGAGCAGGTATGGTCTGCCAGTGGGAACTGTGAGGGAGCCCCAGCAAGGACCCTGAGGGAACCCCAGGAAGGACCCCGGGGAGCCCCAGCACGGACCCTGGACCTCCTTGCATCCATGACAATGCCCCGTGCTGGAAAGTGCCCCACTCCTGCCCCACTTTGGGAAACACCCCCGTTTCTGCTCCTTGCTGGAAAGTGCCCCTGCTCCTGCCCCACTTTGGGAAGCACCCCCGCTCCTGCTCCACGCTGGAAAGTGCCCGCTCCTGCCCGCACTCGCACCGCCCGGCTCCCCCCGAGCAGCCGCTCCTGCGGCATTAAACATTGATGCTGCCCGGCTCTCCCGGCAGCTCGTCGCGGGCGGCAGCGGGGCCGGTGTCTCTCTCCGAGCAGCCGGGCCGGGGTCTCCGAGCGGCTCCGCAGCAGCTCCGGGAGCACCGAGGCTGCCATGGGTGACCCGGGGGCCGGGCCCGCTGCACCCACCCCCCTGGAGGAGATCGCCAGCAGGATCTCTGACCTGAGCAAATGGAGAGAAATCTTTAGTTTCCGTGGGTAAGATTTTTGTTCTGCTTCTTTAACGCAGTTTTAATTTCAGGTGGTTATTTAATGTAACTTTTCATGTTTTATTACAAAACTTATGTGACAATGACAAAAGGTCCTCGTGTACTCAGTAATGTAAATGCTACAGGTCTCACTCTTCCTTTGTTCTGGGGCTCTCTTCTGGCTGGGCTCCAGTTTCTCCACACACTAGTAATACCTCTGTTGGGTGTTTTCATTTGTACTTTATTTTATGCTTTCAGCTTGGAGATCAACAGCACGACTCATCAGGTAACTCCTCTTCCAAAGGTAATATTTTTTGTTTGTCTGGTGAGTTTTGGGCTGTCATTAGATGGCAACTGAGGAGGTCACACGTCCATACCTTCAGCACAGGTATCTATGGAGATTCATTTCTCATGCTGCTTCTTTGAGAAACAGACTTCAGATATTTTGAAGTCAAAGAGGCAGACCAGTCCTACACTTGATTAACCTTTCCATCAAAAACTAATGGTTTTCACGATGAGTTTTAGAAAATAAACTAAGATCTCTGAAATGGAAGTATTTGGAAAGCCTGCTGTGCCCTTAGGTTGGGGGGCACTGAAGTGTATTCCTGTAATTCAGACAAATGCAGCACTATTACCTGCTGCAGTCACCAGCTCGGAGGGATGTGCTGGGAATGTCCGGAACCAGCTGGAAGCCAAGGGCAGCCGTTCCAGGGCAGCCCGTGCCCCGGCGCTGCCAGCCCAGGCGCCGTGCCCGCCCTGGCAGCGCCGGGGCACGCGGGGGCTGCAGCAGCAGCCCCGGGTGATGCACCATGCACTGTCTGCTCTCTCCTGCAGCAAGGACGGAGCAGCGCTGGCCAGGCACCGCCCGGAGCTGGGGAGTGCCCCGGGCCACAGCCCCCCTCCACCGTCCCCCAGCCCCTGCTGCTCCCCCAGGGCACGGGCGGCCGCCCCATCTCCCCGGACACGGCAATGGTGAGCTGCCTGCTGAATTAACTATGAGCTGTAACTGAATCTCCTGGAGGGAAAGAGACTGGGGAGCCTTTCCTGGTGCTCTGACTGCAGCCTTCAGCCTGCTGCCAGCTGAACAGGGTGTGGAACGGGGATGGATTATTTAGGAGACTCTTAACAAACACGGCTGGAATGTAAACTTAAAGCTGATACACAATAATTCTCAGGAGAGAACCAGTCAGATGAGAACAGGCAATGTTTCCTTGCTCTTGGGGGCTTCCCTGACAAACAGCCTCAGGACAGGAGGCAGGATCATGGAATCTTGGAGTTGTTTGCCTTGGAAAGGGCCTTTAACACCACCAGTGCGGGATTTCAGCACCTGCTGAGTGCCTGGCCCCAAAAGCACTGCTGCCAGGTGCTGTTGTCCAGCAGCTTGGCAGACCTGCGGGCAACGGCAGGACAGGCCCCGGTGCAATCTTCCCCAAAATGTGCACTGTACCCAAATGTAAGTTATTACACGCTACAACCAAGCCTCACCAGAGTGGCTGAGTGCTGTGTCAAGTCCCTGCACTGGGCTCAAACATCACCTTTGCTCTCAAGCTGAGGCCTGGCTCTAGGCAGATGCTGTGCCGCCGCTCTGGGCACACGTGGCACCTGCACCTCGAGAGCCCTGGTGGGACAGACCCCTGCTCTGACCCTGGCCCCTCTGCCTCCTGTTCCACAGAGGCTGCAGGAGCTGCTCTTCAGGAACACGGCCCCCATTTTCAGCTGTGAGTGGGCAGCAGCACACTTCAGGTTCCACCAGCCACACTCCGATCTGGCCTACGCGCTGCAGGCAGGAAAGGTGAAGTGTCACACAGCCTGGCACCAGCTGCCTGCTGCCACTGACACCCCTGGGAGCTGGCAGCTGGGGCAGGGCCTCAGCAGCACACACACCTGTACCCTGCACACCTGTGCTCTGCTCACCTGTACACTGCACATCTGTACCCCGAATACCTGTACCCTGCACATCTGTACCCTGCTCACCTGTACCCTGCACACCTGTACCCTGCTCACCTGTACCTTGCTTGCCTGTACTCTGCACACCTGCACCCTGCTCACCTGTACCCTGCACATCTGTACCCTGTACAGCTGTACCTTGCTCGCCTGTACTCTGCACACCTGCACCCCACACACGTGCTCAGGAGAGATACAGCAGGTTGCAAAAAGCCTGTATCTTTTCTGAGAATTAGACTTACCTAGTTATTCCTGCTCCACCTAGACGTCCAACAAGTGAAGTCACCTAGACTGTCATTTTCTGAGATGGAGGTTTTCTTTTTCCTTATTTACATCACAACGCTGCACCCAAGAAAGCAGAAGGCCAAGATACACACTCTAGTTGCAAATCCCCCACCTTGTCCGGAGGCTGGAATGCTGGGTACAGCCCCGGGGGCCACTCCCTGCATTCCAGAGCTCGGTGCTCACAGAGGGAGCACAGCCCTGGTGGGTGTCAGCACGGTGGGGAGCGGGCACAGGCACTCCTGTGCGCAGCCTCACATCAGCCCCGGGCTGCCTCAGCACCTCTGTCCCTCTGCTGCGAGGCCACAGGGAGCAAAAAACAAGCCTTGGGTTTTCCCAGCACAGAGGGTCCCTGGGGCTGAGTGTCTCTCCCTGGGACAGAAGGAGGAAGGGCACCCACCCACAGGATCCCTACACGGCCAGGGCTACTCTGCAGCTCCTTGTCCATGAGGGCTTCTTGTTGTCCCCCTGGCCAGGGACTGCTGGGAATGACAAGTGCTCGTTCTGACTCCTCAGATGGCAGGGGCTGTTTTTCTGTCCCTAGGGAGGAACGAGAGCCATTCTGGCTGCTGTACAAGCACACATCATCACATACCTGCTCTTCACAAGAGACACAGAATGTACTCACCTGCAAAGGTAAGTTTCTGGGCCTCATGGGACACATGAAAATTATTTCCATGCATTGCTTGGTCAGTGCCAGCCTCTGGGTACAGGCAAACCAAATCCAGGTCCATGTGTGCAGGTACAGGTGGGATATGCACTGGGAGAGAAGCCTTGGCTGACCCGCTGGCAAGGCGTCTTCCCCCCAGACCCTCTGATTTCAGGACAGTGGCATGTGCCCCCCTCCTCTGTGGTGCCACAGTCACAGCCCCTGGTTTCCCCTGGCACAGGCTGTGCCGGGTCGGGCAGTGGGAGCAGGGGCAGGCACTGGCCACGGCCCTGGCAGAGACCCTGTGGGCAGCAGGAGGAGGTGGCAGAGCTGTCGTGTGCCTCTTCACTGCCCCTATCACCACGATGCCACGTGAAGGCTACAGAGCCAACAGCTTCACAGAGAGAGTGAGTATGGAACCGTCTTCTGCCAACGGGATTTTCCTTAGAGATACTTCTGGCCTGAAACACAGAATCTCCTGCAGCTGCTCCCCCAATTACGTTGCCCTACAAACAGGGATCACCCCAGACCCAGGTCTTGCTGCAGCCCATGATACATCCACCTCCCCTTCACCAAAGCCCATCTTCCTTCTCCTGCAAAAAGGAGAATCCTGTCAACACAAAGCTGCTGCCCTGACTCCCTGCACAGCGCCAGAGCCCACAGCTGGGGAAGGGGCAGAGCAAACCCTTGACTTGTCCTTTCACTTGACTAACGGAAGCACAGGATTCAAAAGCTCAGCTTTTTGGTATAATTCATGTCTCCTTTGCACCACCCTCACGGTGCCATGCCCAACAGATCCGGCTGTTCGAGTTCTCGGAGAAAGCTGCTGCTCAGGGGTTCATCTCTGATCACATAAACTGTGTAAGTGGATAACTGCTTTATCCAAGTTGTTTTCTTGCTAAATTACATCTCATTTCCCATTCACACTGGGCATTTTGGACACAGCAATGTTAACATCATCAGGACGTTCACACAGTTAATGTACAGTTAGTTCATGGATCATTTCCAGCCTTTCCTATGGGAAGGGTTACACGTTTACACGAAACCCCTGTGACTTTACCCTTTATTCCAGCTCTCTCAGCCCACAAACACTGGGTAAATGGGGCAGCATTTTGTACATCATTCAAAGACATGACGGGTAAATGGGGCAGCAAAAATATGGGAAAAATAGTACAAAACCCGTTTAGCCAATAACTGGAAGTTTCTTCTTTCTTTTTTTACCTGATCCTATTCAACAAAATTAGTTACAAAATCTTCCTGGAATAACACCTTACTCATCTGACTCAACACACTCACACCTAGGGCTGTATTGAGGCAGGGAAGTTGTTTGAATTAAATATGATTTACAGGCCATAATTCCTCCCCTGTGATGCCTTATTTCTTTATTCAGTTCAAAGGTGAAGGAAGCCATGGAGTGATCCTATTTTTATACAGTTTGCTTTTCTCTAGGACACTTGAAAGGTATATTTTGCTTTTTAAACATTTTCCTGTAGTTTGGTTACATCTCCTGAAAAGCCTTTTCCTTTCCTCCCATTTCTGTTGGCCAGGCAGGGAGGTGCAGGGCTGCCTCTGGCACAGGTCCAGTGCTGCCCTGATGATCTGTGCTTGGCCACACAGGGTCCAAGAGGATTTGGGTGACACAGCTCCTCTGTTGAACATCAGTTCTGGAAACATCACCTGTACAGAGGTAGGACCAGCCACATGTCTCAAGAGATCTGGTTTTATTATTCCCACATCTGATTTAGGGAAGAAATTATCACTTGTTAATTAATCCAAAGAAAAAAAGAAGCATAAGTTCATAAAACAATATTTTGCAATTTTAATCATGACTGTGCACTTAAAAAACTGATGATGATGATGATGATGATGATGATGATGATGATGATGATAGTAACAATAATTTTTAAAATGCCACTGGCAGCCTGGCATTCCCCTACTTGTGGCAGAGCTGGGAGCAGGCCATCACCTGCAAGGGGCGTTGGCCCGTGTCCCCGGGGTGACCGGGCTGTTTCCCGCAGGCCGTGCTCAGCCTGCTCCTGACGGGCCGGGCGAGCCCGCGGCAGCTCGGCGGCCGCCGGGAGCCGGAGCCCGGCGCTGGGGGCCGGGATGGCGAGGCGCCGAGGCAGCGGGGCCCCGTGGGCTTCCTGCGCTGGGAGCGGGCGCCGCCGGAGCGGCAGGTGAGCGGGGACAGCCCCGGGGCCAGCGGGACCCTCGGCACCGCCCGGGCTCCTGGCAAGCGTCCCCCGGCCAGGTGAGCCCCGCGCTGCGGACGCCCCGGCTGCCCGTGTGGCTGTGCAGCCTCTCGGGCAGGCACGGCGTGCTCTTCGGCACCGACAGACGGCTGCTCTGCGACTGGAAATCCGAGAGAATCTTCCACCTGTACTTCTACAGTGGGCAGCAGGAGCAGACCCAAACTGCCCACCTGACCATAGGTACGGACCCAGACTTACCGGGGACTGAGGTATGGGCACCACAGACAGCTCCTTCCTGCATTAAATACTCAATACAAAGGTTAAACACACCAGGAAGCTGGACTGTTTCATGATTAGGTCAAAATTTATAATAACATTCTCCCCAGCTGCTGGGGTTTTACCCCTCCCAGCCCTTAAGCCCCACGCAGCTGCTCCCTCACTCCCCCACCCGCAGGATCAGGGAGGGAATTGGAAGGGTGGGAGCTAAAGAACTTGTGGGTTGAGATAGGCAGTGTAATAAGAAAAGCAAAAGCCACACACACAAGCCAAGGAAAATAAAGAATGAATTCACTTCCTCCATAGGCAGGCAGGTGTTGCAGGGCCCCATCACACACAACAGTGCCTTGGGAAGACAAACACCATACTCCAAAGTCCTTTCTCTTCCTTGCCCCCACTTCATACACTGAGCATGATGTCACACGCTCTGGAGCACCCCTTTGATCATTTTGGGTCTTGTCCTGGCTGTGTCTTCTCCCAGCCTGCCATGCACTCCCAGCTTCCTCACCAGCATGGCAGCAGGAGGAAGCAAAAGGTCTTGGCTATGCTGGCACTGCCCAGCAATAGCAAAATCACCTCTGTATAATCAACCCTGTCTGTGTTCAGCACAAATCCAAACACAGCTCCATACCAGACGCAGGGAAGGCAATGAATTCTATTCCAGATAAAACCGCCCACCAGCACAGCGAGGCTGGCACAGCGAGGCTGGCGCAGCAGGAGCCCCCTGCCTGGCTGACCAAGGCTGAAGCTTGTCTTCCTGCTCAGCACCAGGTGCCACCACGGCCCTCATGTTCCCCACCAAGTTTCATAGCCCCCTAGGAGGAATAAACTGCTCCTGTAGCAGTGCTTGGGTTGTGAACCAGGTTTTGTGCTTGGGGTGCAAGGTTCTTGTTTCTTTGCTGCTGTGCATCACTTACCTTCCTCACTGGGTGCCTCCTTCCTTGTGCTCTCCTTTCACTGCAGCAAAGCAAAGTCAGAACCTTGAAACTAAAGGGTAAATCTGCAGGGAAGCAGAGTGATTTGAGGTCATGATACCTGGTGCAGCCACAGATACTATCTGAGCATCTGCTCAGAGAAGCAATATGCAAACACACCATGCAAGGAGCCCGGAATTTCCCGGGGGGGCCCACGGTGCAGGGGCAGTCCCCAGCCCGGGAGGCCCTGCTTACCCTGCCCGCTCCCTGGGGCAGGACGGCAGCACATCTACACCAATACAGCTGCAGAAGCTTCTGCTTTTGGCCTTCACTGAAGCGTTTTTGAGCCTTTTGGGGTTGGGTCTTTAAGATTTTTTTTTAGACATTTATTTTTCATTTCCTCTTCAGACACTCATTCACATCACTGGGAAGAGGCTCAAAGAGAAGGCCCCTGCAGCCCAGGGAAGAGGCGCCCAGCCCTGGAGATGGCAATCAGGACCAAGTGGGCAGGTGCGACCGTCAGCTGGAACGGGACCGACCCCTTCTTCTGAGCAGTGAGCAGGAGGGACCTGCTCCTGAAGGGCACTGGCATCTCCCACTCACCACCAGCTGCACTGGTCACTGCAGTCTGGAGGACAAAAAGCTCTCTCCCCAATCAAACAGCCCTTAGTGCATTGAAGGGACACCCTGTCCATAAGGCATCACACCCACTGCAAAAGCATGCACTGCAGGAACAGCGACCTGCAACCCTGTCCCACTGCATGCCTTTTCCAGGTGGTAGGATGCAGGCTCTCCTGCTCCCCACGGCAGCTGGCACGAAAAGGAAAGAGTCAAGCCCTGGCACAGCTGCCATGGCAGTGGTGGAGTCTGCATCCCTGGAGGGATTCAAAAGCCGTGCAGATATGGGATTTGGGAACATCTGGGTTTAGTGGTGGCCTTGGCAGTGCTGGGGTAATGGTTGGACTCATTGGGTCTTAGAGGGCTTTTCCAACCCAAATTGCTCTGGGGTCCTGTGATTGTACTGCCTTTGCCAAATCCTGGCACCCTTCATTCATCTGACAAGCATGGGCAGGGCACATTGCTTCTAACTCACAGAAACCACTGTCCACTTCCTTTTTCATTGTCATTACTCCAAAACGCCCTCTAAATCACACCCTTACTGTGTTGCTAACAACAACTGAGAACAATAAACTTTCTGCAAGTGATCCAAAAACTTGGTTGAGATTTACTGAATTTCACAAAAAATAAAAAGAAGCCGTGACAGCCAGCCATTGTGCCTGGCCGGGATGAGGAGATGCTGGTTGCAGCTGACGTGGGTCTGGGACCCCGCTGCGGGCCGCGGCTCAGCCCCAGCTGCAGTCCCGGGCACGCACAGCTCCCGCCGACCGGGACGGGGGCCCGGGCTGCGGGGGAGCGCGGGCCCGGGAGGGCGGGCGGTGCCGCTGAGGGCACACGGTCCCGCGGAGGGGCTGGCAGGGCACGGGCACGGTGAGGGGACATGGTACCGGTGAGGGGACACGCTCCCGGTGAGGGGACACGCTCCCGGTGAGGGAGGGGACACGCTCCCGCTGAAGGGCTGACAGGACACGGTGCCGGTGAGGGGACATGGTACCGGTGAGGGGACACGGTCCGGGTGACGGGCTGGCAGGGCACGGTCCCGGTGAGGGTACACGGTGCCGCTGACAGGACATGGTCCCGGTGAGCGGCTGACAGGGCACACGGTGCCGCTGAGGGCACACGGTCCCGGTGCAGGCACACGGTCCCGGTGAAGGCACACGGTCCCGCTGAGGGGACCCGGTCCCGGTGAAAGCACACGGTCCCGGTGAAAGTACACGGTCCCGGTGAGGGCACACACTCCCACTGAGGGCGCACGGTCCCGGTGACGGCGCACGGTCTCGGTGAGGGCACACGGTGCCGCTGAGGGGCTGACAGGGCACACGGTCCCGGTGAGGGCACACGGTCCCGCTGAGGGCACACACGGTCCCGCTGAGGGTCCTCCTCCTCCTCCTCCTCCTCCTCCGCCGCCGCCTCCGCCCTCTCCCAGCGCGGCCCGATGGTGGCGGCGGTGGCGAGGCGCGATGAGCCGCCCGTCCTCCGCCGGCCCCGGCCCTAGCAAGCCTTGCGGAAAGCAGCAGCAGCACGCCCCGTCCCCCGCCGCCGTCCTGCCGGGGACCGGCGGGGCTTCTCCGCCGCCTCCCCCTCCTCCTCCTCTTCCTCCCCCCCAGCAGCAGCAACAGCAGCACACGGTCCCGGTGAAAGCACACGGTCTCGCTGAGGGCACACGGTGCCGCTGAGGGGACACACGGTCCCGCTGAGGGCACACGCTCCCGCTGAGGGGACGCTCCCGCGCAGCGCCCTGACCTCGCTCTTCGAGTGCCCCATCTGCTTCGACTATGTCCTGCCGCCCATCCTGCAGTGCCAGGCCGGGCACCTGGTGTGCAAGCAATGCCGGCAGCAGCTGAGCCTGTGTCCCACCTGCCGGGGCTCCCTCACCCCCAACATCAGGAACCTGGCCATGGAGAAGGTGGCCTCGGCTGTCCTCTTCCCGTGCAAGGTAAGGATGAGGGGCTGGGCAGGGGGACGGGCGGACCACCCCCCATCCCTGCACCCCTGCGGAAAGCCTCCAGCCATCACCCCCGATCCCTGTACCCCTGCGGAAAGCCTCCAGCCATCACCCCTGATCCCTGTCCCCCTGTGGAAAGCCTCCAGCTATCACCCCCGATCCCTGTACCCCTGTGGAAAGCCTCCAGCTATCACCCCCGATCCCTGTACCCCTGTGGAAAGCCTCCAGCCATCACCCCTGGTCCCTGTACCCCCGTGGAAAACCCCAGCCATCACCCCCATATCCATATCCCCAGACCACCCCCCCACATCCCCCTGCAGAGGACACCCAATCACCACCCCAGTTGTTGAAACTAGAATCCTCTGTTCTTTTTAAAGAAAAGGAATATCCAAGCCTGGACCTCTCCACCTGATCTGGATGGATCAGATCTAACTGCAGCAGCAGATCTAACAACAACTCAGCCATACAGCCCATTTTATCTAAGTGCTTGCGTTAGGAAAAAACAACCACAAAAGACAAGAAGAATCCATTTTAAGTGGAAACAAAAACTAAGTAAAGCTCAGCTTGAATCCAGGGCTCCATACAAGTAATGTAAAATGTGCAGTGAGCACGAGAGCTCTGGTGGATCACCTGTGTTTCCAGCTGACGGGTGGGAGCAGCGCACACTAGTGCTGGTGCCTTTGCTGACGGCTTGTGTTTGGTCTCTTTCCAGTATGCCACAACAGGCTGCTCCCTGACACTCCACCACACAGAAAAGCCAAAACATGAAGCCATCTGTGAGTACCGTCCCTACTCCTGCCCGTGCCCTGGGACCTCTTGTGACTGGGAGGGATCCTTGGAAGCCGTGATGTCCCACCTCATGCATGCCCACAAAAGCATTACCACCCTTCAGGGAGAAGACATCATTTTCCTTGCCACGGACATTAACCTGCCAGGGGCAGTGGACTGGGTGATGATGCAGTCGTGCTTTGGTCACCACTTCATGCTGGTGCTGAAGAAGCAGGAGAAGTGCGAAGGTCACCAGCAGTTTTTTGCCACCGTGCTGCTCATTGGCACCCGTAAGCAGGCAGAGAACTTTCAGTACAGACTGGAGCTGCACAGCAGCTGCCACCGGCTGACCTGGGAGGCGTCTCCCTGCTCCATCCACGACGGCGTGCACGTGGCCATCCGCAACAGCAACTGCCTCGTTTTTGATACAGCCACCGCGCACCTTTTTGCTGACAACGGAAACCTCGGCATCAACGTCACCATTTCCATGTGCTGCCCCTGATGCTGCTAGCGGGACTCGAGCTGTCTGGGTGTAGTGCTTCACTGGGGTTTGGTTTCGGTTCCCGTTTTTTACGCTGTTCAGCTGTGTCATCTTGTATGCTAAGGTTTCTGACTAGCCAACGGCTGTAACTTTGGGCAGAAGAGGAACAAGAGTGTGCTGTAAGTAATGTGAGCAGGACAAGGTCTTTTAAAATTCTTGGGTGCCTTAGGAAGATTACACACACACAATTACCTTTTATAATTTAATTATATTTTATGTAAAGAGTGCTTCCATTGGATATATGGCTTAAGAGGCTCCTGTTTGGAGCACACCTAAAAGCCCTTTCATCAGCAGTACAGACTCCCTCTGATGCTGGTGAGCTTTAATAAAAGGCTTTAGTATCACAAGAGGGTTTGGTTTGGAAGAGACTATCATCTGTTCCAATCCTCCTGCCATGGGCAGGGACACCTTCCACTGTCCCAGGTGCTCCAAGCCCTGTCCAGCCTGGCCTTGGGCACTGCCAGGGATCCAGGGGCAGCCCCAGCTGCTCTGGGCACCTGTGCCAGCGCCTGCCCACCCTCCCAGGGAACAATTCCTTCCCAACATCCCATCTCACCCTCTCCACTGGCAGTGGGAAGCCAGTCTCCCTTGTCCTGTCACTCCAGGCCCTTGTCCAAAGTCCCTCTCCAGCTCTCTTGTAGTACCTTTAGGAAGTGGAAGGGGCTCGAAGTTCTCATGATTTGCCCTTAGTGAAGCCATGCTGGCTACCACCAATCACCTCCTTATTTTCCATGTGCCTTAGCATAGCTTCCAGGAGGATCTGCTCCAAGCTCTTTCCAGGCACTGAGGTGAGACCTCACCACCTGTAGTTCTCTGGATCTTCCTTATTCCTCTTTCTAAAAAAAGAGGGTTATGTTTCCCCTTTCAGAGTCAGTGGGAACTCCTCTGGACTGCCTCAGCTTCTCAAACACGATGGATGATAGTGGCCAAGCCACTTCCTCCACCAGTCCCTCTGAACCTGCAGGTGCATCTTGTCGGGTCCCATGGACTTGCACACCTTCAGGTCCCTTGGACCTCCTCGACCCCAGTCCTCTCCTGCTGCGGGCAGTTCTTTGTTCTCCCACTCTCTGCAACTTGGGCAGCGTGGCTGGCGCAGCTTGCCACGAAGGCTGAGTCAGAAACATGGCTCAGTACCTCAGCTCTGTCCATGTCCCAGGGAACTGGGGTTCCCATTTCCTTCCTCAGAGGGTCCACATTCTCCCAAGTCTTCCTTTTATCACCGGTGTACCTATAGAGGTTGCTTTGCTTGTTGCCCTTGGTGCCCCTGGCCAGATTTAATTATTGCAGGCTTTAGTATTCCTAACCTGATTCCTGGCTGCTCACAATCCTCCCTGGCTGCCTGTCTTTTCCTAGTAGGTGACAAAGGAAGGAAATCCAAGCAACCTCTCACAGGAGAAGCTGTGAGGGGAACAGTAGGTACTTCGGCAATGTTTTTCCATTCCCTGCTATATTGTGGAAGGGAAGGGCACTGGGTCAGCTGTGGTGGCTTCAACAGGAAAAAGGAGAGAAGGGGCTGGGGTATGGCATGGTACCTTTGACATGGAGTTGCTGGCTCCTGTCTGCTTTAGGGGATCAGGCCAGGTACAGGTGCAAGCAGGAGGCACAAGTCTCACAGGCTGCAGATGGCTGGAGCCAGAGACACGGGGTTGTCCACGTGCAGCTGCCCTGGGACACACTCTGCTATTGATTATTGTAAAAGATTCATAATATAGCAAGAGCTTTATGGCCAGTGTCTTGTCATTTGGTATTTAAGTTTTGTTGCCATATTTCTTTTATTTTGCAATAAATATTTTGCAAAACCTACACTGAGGAGCTGTGCTAACACACGAGTGCACGGCACGTGTGCTCAGCCGTGCTGGATCAGCTGGGATCCCCTGGCATGGGCTGGCTCTCCCTGGAGGGTCCTTGCCCCTGCCACCATGCTGTCACCGTGCTGTCACCACAGCTGGCTGTGCCTGCAGCCCGTGCCGTGCCATGGGAGCGTTGTGCTGGAATCACTGGCAGCAAACACCAGCTCCCCGCAGGGCTGTGCCAAACCTCGCCGTGCGCGCCGTCTGCAGCAGGCAGTGAGCCACGAGGTGACACTGCTGGGGGAGCCTCGCAGTGCTGGAAAATGGCAGGTGAGGAGACAGCTGGGACTCGTGTGAATAAATACAGTACAAAAGGAGGAAAACCAGTCCTGACTTCCTCCTGGGACAGCTCTGGAGTTATGTCCAAGCCCTAAGCAGCCCTCAGAAAAGTGCACAAGAACAAGTTTGGCCTCAGTGAAGGGAAGCTCTGTCTGGCTGCAGGAACTTGGAAGTAACCATGGAAAAAACCTCCCAAGGAGTTACTCTCTAGGCACTGAATACCAACAATTCTACATCTGGTCTCACACTGTGCTCTGGCAGAACTCTGGCAGCATCAGCCTGGTGAACTAATTGCCTCCTGCATAAGCAGGATCAAAGTCAAGCCATGGTCCCAACACCTGTTACTACCTGTGCTTTCATCAAGCAAGAATTCCTAAGGATTTGATTATTTTCTGTAATTCAGCAAAACTTGTAGTTTTCTTACTGACAGTTGGGACATAAGAGGATTTTTGCATAAAGCAAAACTCCGAAGTGTGTCTTTGAATATAGCAGGATTAATTAATTACTCCATTGTTACCCATAATCCACATTAGATAAGTTAACACACGTTATCATTAGGTCTGTCCAGACCACTTAGTTCTGAAGAAGTGGCAAATTCATGTTAGATTTCACTCAAAAAAAAACCCAACAAAATTAACCCATCACCTTGTGTCTTTTCTGACTGAAACTGAGTTTAGGATAAGGAATACCTGAGCTGGCACTGCCAAGAAGGGAGGTGTTTCCAATTCAGGTCATTGAGTAGACAGGTGACATTAATTTCACTGAGGATTCCCTCAGGTTTCAGATTTTCTTCCCAAGGCAGTTGATACAACTAGCCAAGTAAAAGTGTGACAGTTCCTCAAGACATTCAGGAGAGGTTATTGAGGCCTGCCTGGTTCTCCGAACAGAACTGACCCCTCTCAAGCCCCAGCCTTGAAGGGGAGGGTGAAGCACATCAGACAGAGCTCGCAGCAGACAGAGCTGCACGCCAGGCAGAGCCCCAGCCAGGCACTGCCCCGCAGCCCCTTGGCTGCTCTTCAGCACACCAGGAGCATCTGCTGCGGTGCTAGAGTTCTCCCTAAAAACTATTTCCACTTCAGACACAAATTAAAGTGCAGCTGTCCAGGGAGTGGTGAGTCTAGCGCGAGCACAGCTCACCTCGAGCCGGCCCTATGCTGTCGGGACCGCAGCCAGGGCCCAGGGAAGCCCTGGCCATCCCGGGAAGGCACGGAAGGGATCTCGCACAGCCACGGGGAGTTGGCGGCACCGACACCGGCTGAGCCGCCGATACACTGCCTGCACCTCAACGTGCTCTCTCCGTCTGAAAAATACGTGAAACTGCCTTCTCTGTTGTGGAACTCACGCGCTAGTGAGACACTGCGAATTCTGGCCGACAGCACAGGTAAAGCAGCACACACCTGCTCTCCCGAGGGGAATCCAAACCTGGCTGGGTTTGTGCAAGACGGTTTTCTCTCTTTTATTCTCCGAGCTGCATGTGCAGATTCCTTGGAGAGGTTCGGCAGCGCCAAGTCCTACGGGAGAGATCAGGAAGACGTGTGACAAGCGTGTGACACAGGTGTAAGGAATGCACTGGGGCAGGTGTTCGGGTGCAGACAGGTCGTGTCCGAACAGGCAGTCACGTCGGGTTTGGGACGCGTGTCACCCCGCTCCAGCTGCCAGCGCTCCGGGGCTCGGCAGGCGCGGAGCGCCGGGACGGCGGGACAGGACCGAGCGCGGCGGCTCGGGACCCCCGGCACCGCGGGCCCCCGGCCCCGTGAGAGCCGCCCTGGCTCCGCTCCCGGCCGCGGGTCCCGGGCGGAGGGGTCGGCTACCGGGCGGAGCGGCCGGGCCGGGTACGGGGCGGAGGGACCCGGTCCCGGGCGGAGGGGCCGGGGCGGGTACCGAGTACCGGGCGGAGCCGCCGCCGCGCGGTCCCGGCGTGCCCCGCGGCCTCAGCGTCGCCCTGGAGACGGCGGCGGAGCGGGCCGGGCACGGACGGGCCGGGCATGGACGGGCCGGTTCTCGCCGCCGCGCCCGGCGGAGGGGCGGACGATGGGGCGCACCGTGAGGCGGGCGGGCCCCGCTGGCTCCCGCCCCCCGAGCAGGGCACGGGCCGCCCGGCAGAGCCGCGGTACGGGACCCCCCCGGCCAGCCCGCAGCCCACCCCCACGGGCCTGCCCACCCTCCTGGCCTACAGACCCGAGTCCTCGCAAGAAAACGTACACCACGAGGTCAGTTGGGGTGGGCGCTCCCCTGTGCTTCATTCCCACGGTTGCATGTGGAAATCGTGGAACCAACGCCCTCTGCTGAGCCCGCAAAGGAGCCCCTTCGTGACAGGAGTTTTTGCTGCGAGGCTGTTGAAACAGCCTGGACAGCAAGAGGCTGTGCAGCCTCTCCCTACTGCTGCATCCTCTGTTGAGAATTTCCCAGCAGAATATTTTGTCTAAATCAGATACAAAATGTATGTAAATAGGTACAGACACCGAATACAAGCAGGGCACAGAGTTCCCGGTAACCCTTAGCAAAGTCACCAAAAAGTTAATTCGAGGCACGAGGTGGGGAGCAAGGGAATTTTGTTTCAGGATATCCAGTACCCATCCTCAAAACACACCATGCTGTCAACCTGGTTTACATCTGGTCAGATGTGACCAGCTCTGTATCACCAAGCCTGCTGGTGCTTCCTCAGAAACTCCCACAAATGGAGTTTTTCTCTCTGTAATGCATTCAAATCCTCAGCTACAGTGTTCTGTGCTCTCAGCTTCCCTGGGAGGGAGCAGAACTCACAAATACCAGTCATTCCCTTTGTTTGGGGGCATTTATAGATTTATTTACAACACAACTGCTATTCTTTTTGGTGGTTTCCTGAACCTAATATTTTGAGTTAAATCGTTCCAAGGTATCCCAGACGTGGATCTGTGGTGAGTGCCCTTAGTGCTTTGTCACATCTGTTGCATTTTCACCGTGCTAACCGGGATCTGGGGGCTGGTACCCCATGTCCCTCCTCGCTGCTCTCCCCGCCATCGCTGCAGGCAGAGGAGGATGCTGAGCCCACGTGCGAGTACTGTGGCAACCTGCTGAGGCCGTTCCCCTTCTGCGAGGACGGGGCTCCCGCCGAGGACCAGGAAGGCGTAAGCTGGCGGGAGGGACGGGCAGGGCTTTGCTGCGGAACGGGCACGCTCACGGCTCCGCTCTCTCGCCTTGCAGAGATTCTGCTGCGAGCGCAGCCGAGAGCTCTATGAGTTCATCAGGAAGGAGAAGAAGAGGCTCGAGGATGCCAGCAGCCTTCCCAGAGCTGTCAGCACCCAGGAATCCCTCAGCTCTGAAGCCAACCTGCCGCTGTCAAAGGAGCAAACTGGGAGGTACTGGGAGAACTGGGGATCAGGTCTGTGTAATGAACAGGGAGCTTTGAGGGGAAAAGGAGCGTTAAGAAACCACAGGGAGAGGGATGAAAGAAGAAAAACCTTTGCTTTAGACACCAGAAGTTCTGATTCTGTCTGGTCCTTCCTGGCTCCTCTATTGCCAGGCTGCACAAGGAGGTGGCGAGGCATGTGCTGAGTGAAATGTTAATTCCAGTGCTGACAGATTAACTATCTAGAGACAGGTAGAGCCAAAAAACCCCACAGCTGTGGGAAGGGACAGTATTTGGGTGTAGCTTCTACCTCTGGCACTGAAACAAAGCTGGTGTTTGTATTTCTGTTTTGATCCATAAACTGTTTGGATTACAGTTTCCAGAGTCACACACATGAACTCTGCAAGCTTTTAGGCTGTAGCAGGAGACCCAAAGCTTGTGCAAGAGTTTAAGCCTCCAGGGAAAGTCTAAGCCACAGGGAAAAGGAAAACTAAACCAGTACACCTGGAAGTAAACTGTTGGTGTCCTCAAAAATCCTTCACAATCTGAGGGTGCAAGTGCCTCCTACTATGTACAGAGCACACACCAAACCACTGTCAGATTCATAGGAAGCTACACAAGAATAGTGAAAATATTCTTGAAGATGAGCTGTTTTCTTGATCTTGTGGGCATCTGTCCTTCTCTTTCACATAAAATCCTGATCCAAGCCACATTGCAATATTCAGCTCTCCTGCCAGCAGAGCTGATGCCACTGCAGTGGCAGTCTGTTCGCTGGAATCTGTGTGGGTGCAATTCCTTTCTGCTGAGGTGTGAGTATTTGGTGACACTCTGCTGCCTGTTACTTGGAATTGGGAGCAGAGAGAAAAACAGATTCAGAAATTGTGCTCATAAAGGAGGGGTATCCACTACTTGCAGCTTTCTAAACATGGTACATGAGTGTCAACAACACTTCTATTTTCCAGGCAGCAGAAGAGACACCTGGCTAGAGAGTTGGCTGACCAGTCTTTAAGGCCAAGTGCCACTAAAGGTAAGTTGGTATTTCCTTAGGGATTTGTCCATTTATCTCAGTAGTGCATTCAGTGGAATTGCTGGTTTCTGTCTGGAGGATTTTATACAGCAACACGTTTGTTCATTGACAGATATGCAATCTCATTAAATTAGATACAGATACAGCCATATTAAATCATCCCTCACACATGAGCACAAGAGCAGGCACATCCCTTTGCCCAGTTTGTCATGATTTTCAGTATGTATCTGTGATGTTCCCAGCTGAGATACACAGAACCTGACCTGTGAGGATAAGTTGGCAAAGCCAAGCCCTTAGGAAGTAGGAACTGCCAAAATGAGGCTTGTCCATATTTTGCCTGATCAGGTGGATATTCGATCAATACCTAGCTCAGGCTGTGGATGACTAAGTAGCCTTTGGATAGAGGAAGTTTTGACAGGTGAACCAGATTTACAATATGGGCATGTTTTCACAGAGAATGGCAGGGCAGTGAGGCTTCTGCAGCACTGGGATTTCAAATGGTCAGTTCCAATGCATGGAGCCAAATGTTATCCTAAAAAGTTGCTCTTTACACAGATGTGTGTATATATGTAATTGAAAAAAAATGCTTTTATCATAATCCTGTGCTCTGAAATAGCTGAGCACTTTGGACTGCCCTTGTTAGAAAATACCCTGAGACAGACTGTCAGGATGGAGTGTTTCAGCCAGGAACTCCCACTCCCCCACTTACAGCAGAGGTATCGGGCAGCCCCACGGTGGGCACTGCCAACCCCCACTGCTGCACAGAAGCCCTCCCTGTGCTCTGCAGGGTCACAGCAAGCTGGATCCATTTCCTACGAGCCTTCCCAGGAACTCCCATCTCCCAAAGCCGGGTCACCAGTGCCTGTTGCAAGTGCAGACGAGCCCCAGCCCCATTCTGAGCCCGAGCTCCATTCTGAGCCCGAGCTCCAGCCCAAGGAGAAGCCCGAGCCCGAGTCCTGGCCTGAGGAGAAGCCCAAGCCCGAGTCCTGGCCCGAGGAGAAGCCTGAACTGGAACCCCAGCCCAAGGAGGAGCCCGAGCCGGAGCCCTGGCCTGAGGAACCCGAGCCGGAGCTTCGGCCCGAGGAAGAGCCCGAGCTGGAGAAGGAGCCTGGGCCTGAGCCCGAGTCCCAGCCTGAAGAGGAGCCCGAGCCTGAGAAAAAGCCCAGCTGGGACAAGAAACCCATGTCCCGCAGCGTCCTCGGCTACGAGTTCAGTCTGCTGGGGAAAAAGGCAGGTACCTGCCGACAGTGACGGGAGCACCTTGGATGTGCCAGCGCTCCGAGCTGTCGGACCCTGGCAGTGCCCATTTTCAGAGGGCACCTGTGCCAGACTGCTCTCATCCATTTTATCCTTCCAATCTTAGGTGGGGAAGGGTAAATTGGTGCAGAAGTACTACAAAAATGGAAAGAAATTCCTTACCATGCTCCCAGACGGAACCTCGCAGTTATTGTATCCTTTACAGGGTTCACTTGCCTGCCTTAGTCCAGGGCTGTTACTGATTTTAAGTGTGTCGGGGTCCCCTTTATCACAACCCAGCTCATCGCTCCCACTCGCTCTGAGGAGCAGCGGCAGTGAATCTTGACACAGCTCCTGGGCTGAGGTTTCCAAGAACAGCCAGCAGCTCCAATGAGCGCTAGCTTCCAAGACCCAGCCCAAGGAAGCAGCACACCTTTAACACAGTGCTCTGGGTAATATATCAGTTTTTACACCCCAAAGTAGTACCCAGAAGTATTTAGTGGTAATAACAGATCAAACAAGCAAAGCAGGGGGTTACAAACACCTTACCTAGCAGCAGCTATCCATCTGGAAACCTGGCCATCATCATTACACAAGCCAGAGACGAGCTGATGTGCATAGTACAGGAGGACGAGCCGAGGACAGTCAAAATCCGAGCACTGTTTCAGTCTGATGGCAGGAGCACATGCTATTACCCGAGCGGAGATGAGTGGTGCGTTCAGCAGCTTTGCTGTCTCCTCTGTGCGCTGACATTTCAAAGGCCATAAAGGCTATTATTAATAGTATCCAAAAATAGACAAATTCAGCAGCTCATAGTCCCTGCTTTGGGTGCCCCCAGAGCAGCAAGGCAACCCAGCTGTGCCTTGAGAGGTGGGGGACAGACCCTGTCCCTGCTGTGCCTCTGTCCCATCCCTCAGGGGAATAAGAGACCTTCTGCCACAGGAGCTTACAGGCTTCAGAGCTTCCATTTCCCCTTCTCTAGGATAAATATGAGTATCCAGGGTGGGCAGTATTTGGACCAAGCAGGAAACAGGGTGAGAAGGTGGATGTGGCCGAACTTGTCACCAGGACCCCAGGTGCCACTGAGCCCCATTTTCATCTCCCTGAACCGCCACGTGGGGGTCAGGATCCTGGCCCAGGACAAGATCTTCGTCTCCTTCCTCGCCATGGGGCGACAAGCAAAACTCAACATGGGAACCAAAGTGCAGGTAATTGTTCCTGTGCTGAGCCACTCCCCACAGCGGGAGTGGGGCAGCCAGGGGAGCTCCCCTCTGTGCTTATCCTGTGGTGGATGGCCCCTATGTTGTCCATGCTCTGTCCCCAAAAAGAAAGCTGTGGAGATGCATGTATTCCTGCCACTCCTATGGAGATGGGGCACTTGCCAGCCCCAGCTCTCTGCAAGGGGCCACAGTGTGGGACTCCACTCCCAGGCAGGACCCTGGTGACATCCCCAAGGTCACCCTGGCTCTGCCACAGGGAGAAGAGCTGTGATCCATGTGGGCAGGGTGCATGGCAGCTCCTTTCCTCTGCAGGCTCCTGTCACAGGGGCAGGTTTGTGTGCTGGAGAGAGAAGCCCTGTCCCCAGCTCGGGTGGCTCTGCTGATGTGTCCTCTGTTGTGCAGGTCAGCACCAGCAGCCAGCTGCCTCCTCCAGCCCGGCTGGGTGAGGATGAGCTCCTGCTGCTTGCCTTCCGCGTGAGGATCCTGCAGCTCTTTGACAGGATGCGGGGATGCCTCAACTTCCCTTCCAGTGAGCAGTGGAACAAAATGCAGCCTCCCATGTACCTCATCACCCAGGCTGTGAAGATCCTGGAGCTCTGCATGGCTGCTGACATAAGTGATGAGCTGCGCAGCTCCATCAAGGCGATAGTAAACACCCAGGAACTCTGACCAGTGCGTGTGTGGTGTAAGGCAAAATGAGCCAGACAGTCCCTGATGCTGTGGCACCTGCACGTGCTCAGCAAGGTTTCTCCTCGGGCCCTGCCTGCCCTGGTGCAGAGCAAAGGGCAGCCCAGGGCTGATCCACACAGCCCCACATGGGAGCAGGGCAGGCGGTACCAGCCCGCAGTGACAACGCCTTGGTCACAGAGGCACGAGAGGGCTTTGCTCGGGCAGAGCAGGCCCGTGCTCCACAGCAGCGCACTGCTCCTGAGCAGGCTCCCTCCTGCCTACAGCCCCAGCTGAGTCCGCCTTCAGCCCTCGGGCAAAGCACAAGGTTCAAAGGGCACAGCCCAGCCAGGGCTTGGGACAGCTGCACAGGCACCCACACAGGTACTGCTCTGCCACTCCTGACAAGAAGGTGGCAGCAGCAGGGAGCCCCCAGTGTTCCTGGTGCCCATGGCAGCTCAGCCAGCTGCAGGTACAAGACAAGGTGGTTCCCTGCACAGAGAACAAATGCCTTCAGAGTGCCCAAGTAATCACCTATGCTTGGCTCCAGGGAGCACCAGCTGCAGCCTGCGCTGGGCTCGGGTTCAAGCACTGCAAACAGAGCTGTCAGGGGGTGTTCAGAGGCCCGTGGTGCTGCAGTCAGCAGTGAGGAACGTGCCAGGCTCTCAGAGCTGCCTTTGAAACTAGGGGTGCACTGGCCAGCTTCCCCTAGGGAGGCCACTCCTCAACTGGCAGGTGCCTGAAGGATATGACCAAGGCCCGTGTGCTTTTCCCCACACTGGAGGTTCTCAGGGGCTTACACATGACAAATACAAGGTCAGTAACTTTGGAAAGCTGTTTTTTTATGCAGTTTTTCAATTGCAGTTCCAAGAATGTCCATTGGTGACAAACAAGGTACTTCACACAGGAAATGGGAACTCTTTATTTCAATTAATGTTCTTGGGTTCTATTCAGGACAGCAGGAAGGCCCAGCTCATCTCTCAAATGGCCAAGGAAGAACTGCTGGAGCTGGTCCACATGATTAAAGAGCAGCTGATCTTAATTTTCACTGAAGTCACCAAGTGATGTAACAATTCTGCATATAATTTTGCTTATATAATTCAGTATATAATGCACTGTTCGACTCTGCCATAGATTTTGAAAAATATACAAACCTGTTTTAACCACATTAAAGAGATTTGATAGACAACTATCAATTACTCAACAGTTTAGGACAATATCAGACACTCCTATAACTTCATTTTAAACTACAAAAAGAACATAAATTCATATAAAATACAACAGATTAAACAAACTTCTCTTTTTTCAAGGAAAAAATTAGGTATCAACTCAATCTGCCATAGTGTGAAACATGAATATAAAATAAGTTACCATTAGTAATGCCTGCATTGCTGATCTATGAACTGGTCGAATGAAGTCTTAAAAAAACTATACAGTATTATTGCACTCGTGGCTGTGCAGTGTGGACCGGCCAGCACTGAAACAGGGCTCATTGAGTGTTTGTCCAGGAGGCACAACGTGGCTGCAGGAGAGGCATCCAGCCTGCACCAACAGCAGCTGTCTTCAGTGCAGGCCTTCATGGGTCTGCACCACGTGGCCCGGGAACCACCACCCAATGCCTGTGGAGAGACAGCTGGGTTACAGTCAGCAGCACCCTGCACCACAGCAGCACCCCTGCAGCGAGCCTGCTGCACCCCTGCAGCGAGCCTGCCCAAGATGGGGACTCGTAAGCTATGCTAAGCCACGGGTGACACGGGGACGTGAGAGTGGTTTGTCACAAAATACCTACAGGATGTGAACTCCATGCTACCAAAAGCCGTGGGGCTTTTGCAGGGGAGCAGGGCAGTACAGCAGAGCATGACAGTGTTCTGCTCTCAAGGATTAAGCAAGGAGCAGACATCATCCTGTTCCCCAAGGCTCTGGAATTCAAGTGGGTTAAAAGCCAGGGAGACCTTAAGGCCCTGGACAGAGGCTATTCTAATGCACGAAAGCAGCGTTTCTGATCTCTGCACCACACACTTCATTGACATTAGCCTGCTGTAACACACATTCTCCTGCCTCACGGAATGCCAGCTTCCTGCTCTGAGACAGGCAGAATGAGCCACATCCCAAAACCTCCCACCCAAACAGCCTCTGTGACACCACATGTGGCAGTTTAACATCATGGGAGCTGTTCTCCAGAAAAGCATCTAACTGAACAAACACACAATCCTAAAATGCAGTCTCCAGTGTGCCCATCTTACCTGGGCAAACACACTGGTGACTGGAGGAGACTTACGAGAAGTTTCAGGGCTGATCGATGGGGCTATGATCGATGATGGGGCATTGACTCCATGTGCACGTTCAGCTTCATCTCATTGTCAAGGATCTGTACAAGCTGCTGCATGGAAGGGAGGTGGCCAGACTCCAGCTTAGACCACACTGGGACATCTAGTGCAGAACACACACGGGAGAGAAGCACTGTTACACTGGGAGCATCAGAAAACAGGCAGAGTTGGTGGAAACATGGAATTGAGAAGCTCCAGGAAACTGTCTGAGTTGGTACTGATCTATGTTGAGGAAAATATCTGAATCAACAATGCTTCCAACCTCTGGCTATGCTGAACCCCAGCCCAACTAGGAGAGCAGAGTGTCTAATGCTTCCATTTAGAAGTGTATCATATTGATGGAGAGGTGCAAAATATCCACTGACATTGCTCTCTACCTGAAAAATCAGTACTGATAATCCGGTAACAGAAATGGATTCTTTAGGATTCCAAAGCTAAAGCGTGCTGCAGAACAGACAGGGAAAGCACGTAACTGGAGAGTACATGACTCTAGCTGGTGGCTTCTTATTTAATGCACATCACACACAGAGAAAGAATATAACAGAGTTATTCCAAGGCACCAAATATCCCTCTGAGTAAGTTTTTACAGAGCTGTTCTAGAATATCTGACATCTGTATAAACTGCTTTATAAGACTTCTATGATTTTCATCATTTATTCTGATAGGCAACATCTAAAGATCCAAATGGATGGTAATTTCCACATATCACATTTGGACATAAATTTCCTGATGCCATCCCTCATTGTCCCCACCACCCAGCTCTCAGATGTGTATATGTGACACCCCTCAAACAAAGTCTCAGCTCACCATTCAAAGTGATTTCAAAAGCCCCAGTGGACATACACTGGTTTTCAATCATGTTGCTCAGGAAGAAGACCATCATGCAGGCGTACACCTGGAAGGGAACAAAGATCCACACAGACCTCGGGCATGTCAGGCACACCTGCTGTTCACAGGTGCCTCTGAACTCCCTCTGTGATTGCTCAAGGAATGTTCCCATCTCCGGACACCTCCCCTTCCTCCTCTGACACAGACTGTGCACCTTGCCTTCCCCAGAAGAGCACCAAAGCAGCTCCAACCCCACCCAACTGGCAGCCCTCCGCACACCTCTGGACCCAGCACAGCCAGCTGCAGGGGGCTGGCAGCGTGACATGGGAACTCAACTGTTCCAGACAGCCTGTCACTGTCACAGCAATCTCCAGATCACAGAGCCAAGGGCCCAGCCACAAACAGCAGAGCAAGGCAAGTCACGTGCACAGAACCCTGACCCTCCTGCACACCTCCCAGCTCTACACCTGGAATTCTCTCTGCACATGGGTGACTAAGGAGGAAAGGATAGCATCTTCAGCAGTGCAGCTCCTCCCTCACCGCCAGCACCTCTCTAATTTCCTGTTCACACACACACTCACACAAGTCACTGCAACACCACAGAACCTGGCACAGCAGCCACGCACCGCAGCCAGCCCAGCCAGGCATGGAGTTGGCCCATTTAATTCATCTGGAAATATTACAGCTTCTGGGCATGCAAACTGGCCAGTGAAAGACCCAGGGCACTGTGCAGCTCAGCATGAAGGTCTGTACATTACTTTAGTTTAGTGGAATAAATCTGGAACAAGGTTACTCTAAATCAGAGTACAACACCCTGAATCCACTGGCATCATCACTACTGACTCATGGGGATATTCTCCCACAATGTCATGCCAGTCTGCTCTCCAAAAACACCCACAACATTTCAACTTCATTTTTCTAACACTCTTCTAATTGCTGCCTAATCTATCAGGAGTCTGATGGAAGCATCAACTGCAAAACCGTTATGAGACAAGAGAAGGGAAACTGTAATTTTAACATCAACAATACTGGCTTGAAATGCTCTTCTTGAGCCCTAAAAAATAAGAACTCTTTAATCATCTTTGTCAGCACATTAACTTCAGCTGTCCCTCTGCAGTAGCAGCAGCTTGGAAAGAGGTCACAGAAGCACACCCGGGTTTGTCAAAAGCATAAAGCACAACTGGTAAGAATTATTCTACCATAAGGCTGCAGAGTATGAAAGGTAAATCAGTCAGAACTGAGGGACTCACAGAGCACCCTCATGAAGTAACTCTGGAACTGCTTTTTCAGACTAAAAGAAGTATGTTCTTTACCTTGTTTTCCTGGCCCCACTGCCAGATGCTTGGAGCTTGCATGCCAAAGAAAGCAAACGGGTCCTTGCCAACGATGATTAAGCCAATTAATACTAGTTTGAAGACAGACAGAAAGGATGCTATGTGCCTGTTGGAGACAACACACACCAGTGACTGAAAGGTTCAGTTCCTACTTCACCATACACAACTGCAATTCACATCACTAGGAGAACTTTGACAGCATACAATCAAATGTTTCAGGGGAAGTAGAAAACTTTCCAAGATTTATCTCACTGCAAAAAAACCCCAAACCAAATCAAACCAACAACAAAAAAAGCAACACACATAACATCCCCAATAAGGCCCTGCTTTTGCACAGCACCCCAGAATGACACCTTCCTGTAAACCATAGAGTCTTTTGCTCCTCAGCAGACTTCAAACAGGACTTGGCTTTTAACTTACAGATGCCTGAACTGGGTAAGAGATTCAGTTTCTAAAGGTGCTCCATATTACAGACTTGTCTGACTGAGAGGCACCACTTCCTGCGGAGCATTTCCCAGTGATGTACAGCTCCCCACAGCCAGCCCACACCGAGGCACTGCGCCCCGCAGCCTCCCACCAGCACAACCCTGCCAGGAACCGGGCCAACGAGTGTTCAGGAGCCACCCAGTAACTATGGCATCACTCCCCAGCGTGGGCACGCTGCTTTAAGCAACAGCAGTAACACTGTTTTGCCTTCTTCTGAATTTCTTTGGGCCTTCCCCCCACAGCTGCAGCAAAGGCCACTCCAGCAGCTCCCAGCCTGAGGTGAGCTCTCCCTGATTCAGATGTTAACATTGAACTTTCTCTTCCTCTGAGTCCTTAACCCATTACAGGGATTTATCACTAAGTGCATAAGCCTGAGCAACAAATTGAATTAATGTCCAGATACAGCATGAAGAAGAGCTAGGAAAATTTGCTGTTTCAAAAAAAAGTTATGTAATTTATTGGAGGTTAAATATGACAGGCTTCATCATACAGATATCCATATAGTGATACCTGTATGGAAAATTAAGGCAGCTACCTGGAAGGCAAGAAAATCATACAAGCGTCCTTGTATGCATCTGCAATAGAAAATCCCCTCAAGTTTACATTTTCAGCATTATTTCAGTGTAAATGCACGTGTTTACCACTGTAAGCAGACAGAGCACACGGCATGAAGTGAGAGGCTCACCTATAGATAGGTTGAGGAAGGTAGTTCTCCCCTTCGATTCGGATGTCTGGGTACCGCTGGCTGATCAC